GTCTTGCACCCTGCTGCTGTCGTGGACCCGGCTGCTGTCACGAGTCCTCATCCGCTTCTGCTGACACAGCCCCTGCTCCTGACCCAGGCCCACACACCCCAGAAGGCGCATCTGACGACTCTGTACCTGCCGTGAGGGAAGCATAGCATTCATCACCTCCACACACCCTTTTTCTCCCTCTCTACTCCCACAGATATTGTGTATCTAGACAGTTGTCTCCTCTAGCGGCCGGCTCATCCACGCCCTCGCAGTTATGGCTCACATGTGGCATGCACCGCCCGTTCTGCCTCACATGTGCCATGCAACCCTGCAGACAACAAGTCTCCTACACTGCCTGGAGGGAAGGGGGGGGGGGTTGTACTGTAGTGGATCCCTCCCCTACAAACGCTGTTTGTCGCTGATTAGCCGACCCCGCGAATTCCCCAGTGTATGCCTCGTGGTCTAGGTCAACCAGCGCCGCCTTACATGACGGAGGTCAATTACTAAGCCACGCCTACCTCCGCTATTTAAGACCTGACCTCGTGGTGACCTCTTTCTTCTTCTAGCTACAGCCGCAGCAAGCTACACCACCTCCTTCGCCGCTGCCTGGCGGCCCTCGCTCCCGCCGGCGAGCATGGCGACCCACAAGCCGTCCTCCTCTGAGCATCCTCACCAACCAGCTCTCCCTACATCACGCTTGTAACCACGCTGCCACTTCCCAGCACCAAGCTGCACTGTACATCCAATACAACATGTATACAGAGAGCACATTGTGAGTTACCTTTTCTCCATCCCATCCTGAGTGTGAACCAAACAACAGTGACCCCACAACACTACGAGAGCTCAGGCCCTCAATTGGTCCACTCTGTGTCTGTATTTTTCTGGTTTTATAACTGTTTTGATATCAAGTGTGGACGAGCTGCTCTAATCCTGCGGCTCACAGAGTTGGCAGAGCATTATGACCTATAAGAGAATAATAAAGGTGGAAGAAACTTACGTACATTGTGGTACAGCGGGTAAGCCTGGCATTTTAGAGGTTCCAGTTCGATTCCCAGCACTTCTCTAATTTACTTCCCTTTCTTTTTCTCATTCGTTATGGATAACTATTTTCACTATATTATTCCCTCAAAGTTAATTGGACGACGAATTCGAACTGCTTTAATATACTGTATATTAGGCTGTCCCCAACCCTTTAGCGGACAATGGGAAGGGCACCTGAGGTATAAGAGAAATAAAGTTGCTAAAAGTTCGGAAGTTCGTCGTGGTCCAGTGGATACAAGTTTTACCTGCCACTCATCGAGACCCCGAGTTCGATTCCCGGCATTTTTTTATTTATATTTTATAGTTTTTTCGTTATGGGACACTATTTTTGCTATATTATACATGAAAAGGTAATCAAAAGTGAAATTGGGCCAAGAATTTGACGTTTTTACGTATTTTAATGTATATTCTGATAATGCATTGAACCTAATAAACCCATAGGTTGGGTATGTTAGGTCAGATTCTATTAGGTTCCATGCATTGTCGTTTCCATTTTTGTGTTTAAAATTATATTAGTGTGTGGAAAAAATTTAAACCAATTTGGCAAATTCCTTCTGGTGGTCACACTGTTCTACACTTTTACCAAAAAATAATCCTATTGATAATGGTAAAATATCTGGGTAATTATATAGGATAACCTGCGAGCGAAACTGATTGAAAACAATTATAAAAACGCCGGATTTCCATTGTTATATTATAGTGAACACTGTTGTAATTTGTGGAAATATTAAAAATTGGATATTTTTAAAATAAACGCTACTTAAAATTTGTGGGTATGAAGAACAGACCAAACCTACCTAACCTTACTTAACTTCCCCGGTATATTAAGCAGAAAGAACTTACTATAATATGGTGAAATTTGAGGCATGAGATGATACGGCCTCATCGGCGCTATGCAGCCCTGGCGGGTTATATTAACCAAAATCTGAAATACATATTGGGATAAAAACGAATATTAACCCTAATAATTTTTGTCAATTCACCAAATCGTCGACGGCAACGAATTATTTCTTACTACAAACACCTATAAACTACACTAATACCAAGGCAGCATAATATATAAAATAGACGGTAATTATCTTTGCAATTACCTTTTCATAAAACATCTTCACCTAAATTTCCATTTGATGACGGACTTAACTCTCAGTAACTACTTGTTGGGTTGACAAACTACCATGGCGGTGGTTTAACAACTCTCTAATATCACACTAACTTAATTATGAGAATAAATATACCAACAATTTACTCACCACAGATGACAGTATCGACATAGGCTTGTGCTTAAATAACTTAATATAAAAATACTAAAAATTTAATTACCACACAGCCAGGCACAAGGTAACCCTCCCTCACGGCTCACTCAGGCAAATGGGTTGCTAGGAACGTCACAATGGAGTGTTATACCAAGGAAGGAATATATAGAGAAACTTGTACTACATTCAATTAACGTTCAGCCCCTGACTGCTGCGCCATCTCTCGACTTAATTTTACAATAAATATTTAAGGTTATCATAGAAAACGTTGTCTTAGCAACCATTGCATAAATATACATGATTGTCTGCTTATACGCTTATATATTTATTTATTCACGAACAATGTTGTTCCTTAAATAAAAGAAGAGGCAATGCCATGTTGTACAGTACATGAAATAATATAAATAAGGGACTTTGGTGGTAAATAAATATAAGTTAAGAAAACATCAAAAGCAAGAGGGTGTAGTGGAATTCTCCCCTACAAACGCTGTTTGTCGCTGCCTAGCCGACCCCACCAATTCCCCAGTGTATGCCTCGTGGTCTAGGTCAACCAGTGCCGCCATACACCACGGAGCGGGGGTCAACTGCTAAGCCACGCCTACCCCCGCTATTTAAGACCTGACCTCGTGGTGATCTGTCTCTCTTTCTACCTACAGCCAGCCAGCAACACCCCTTTCCTCGCTCCTCCGCCTGCCTGGCGGTCCTCTCTCCCGCTGGCGAGCATGGCGACCCACAAGCTGTCCTTCTCTGAGCGTCCTCACCAACCAGCTCTCTCTACATCACGCTTGTAACCATGCTGCCTTCCCAGCACCAAGCTGCATTGTACATCCAATACAACATGTATATAGAGAGCACATTGTGAGTTTCCTTTCTCCATCCATCCTGAGTGTGAACCAAACATCTTGAACCCCACAAATGGTGACTCCCGGAGATTCGCACTCACACAGGATGGAGGAGAAACTGACCACGCTCCCAGTCTTCAAGCAACATGGAAGACTGGCTTATCCACCCAGAAGCAGCTCTCATCGGCTCTACAGCTACTGTCTCTACACCGCAGGTTAGACACCCTAGAGCAGCTCTGCTACTCTAAGCAGACACCAGCTCCTCTTCCTGCCCCAAGCACCACGTCCTACCGACCCCAGCACACCCGTCCTGCCTCAGACGCCGACCCCGGCCCAGCAGTAACCCCTGCCGCCCATGATGCGGCCTCTGTTCCTGAGTGCGGACACACACACCCCTCTTTTCTCCCCCAGGTACTCCCTGCTAATGTCCTGCACCCTGCTGCTGTCGTGGACCCAGCTGCTGTCACGAGCCCTCATCCGCTTCTGCTGACGCAGCCCTTGCTCCTGACCCAGGCCCACACACCCCAGCAGGCGCATCTGACGACTCTGTACCTGCCGTGAGGGAAGCACAAAATTCATCGCCTCCACACACCCTTATTCTCCCTCTCTACTCCCACAGATATTGTGTATCTAGACAGTTGTCCCCAGCGACCGGCTCATCACGCCATCGCCGTTGTCTCACATGAGGCACGCACCGCCCGTTCTGCCTCACATGTGCTATGCAACCCTGCAGACAACAAGTCTCCTACACAGCCTGGAGGGAAGGGGGAGTATTGTAGTGGAATTCTCCCCTACAAACGCTGTTTGTCGCTGCCTAGCCGACCCCACCAATTCCCCAGTGTATGCCTCGTGGTCTAGGTCAACCAGCGCCGCCATACACCACGGAGCGGGGGTCAACTGCTAAGCCACGCCTACCCCCGCTATTTAAGACCTGACCTCGTGGTGATCTGTCTCTCTTTCTACTACAGCCAGCAACACCTCCTCCTCCTCCGCCTGCCTGGCGGTCCTCTCTCCCGCTGGCGAGCATGGCGACCCACAAGCTGTCCTTCTCTGAGCGTCCTCACCAACCAGCTCTCTCTACATCACGCTTGTAACCATGCTGCCTTCCCAGCACCAAGCTGCATTGTACATCCAATACAACATGTATATAGAGAGCACATTGTGAGTTTCCTTTCTCCATCCCATCCTGAGTGTGAACCCAACAATCTCATACCCCACAAGGGCAGATGGACCTAATCTTCACGTCCACAAAAAAGTAGAAAGCAGTTATAAAAAGACTCAGTTTCAACTTTCAGTTTTGAAAATATATCTAATTCAGAGTGGATGAGGCCGAAATACATTACATGTTTGAATGTTCTGATTAGAATCACACACACACTATAATTTCTTTAAATTTAGGACAGCATACAGCTCGCTAACACTTAGATTGTTGCGAAAGAAACATATGCAGTACAGCCCAAGCAATAATACATTAGCATCCCAACTTGAAAAACAATGTACTGTAATCTAAACCTACAACCCAGAATGCAGCCACAGTACCACGTAGGTATAAGTGCAGGCAAACTGTACATCAATGATAAAATCAATTAAATTCCTACCTGGATGTGGTACACTTTTCGTATTTTGATTCAGCTTATCTAGGCTTTCATGTAATGTACTGTACTAATCAATCCTATTGTATTTATCCATCTTTTCTAAGCATGTGGATAAACCTTAAGAGAATTAAACAATCTTCACTGAAACAAGACATGTATATAAAGTACCATATTTCTATTTTCACATATATTTAATTTATATCCTTGTTTATATTTACTGAATCAAAGACTGTAAATTGGCAATAAATATTAATATCATCTCAGAGTTTTTTGTAATTCAAATGATTAATTTCATTGAGCTTTACGCCACCGAGAACTAGTCAAAGCTTTGTACTGTGTGTGTGAAGGTCCTGGTGTACGCAGCTTGAAGCTTTATTTCTTATATTCTTCCTAAATCAAGCACATAAAGACAGTATAAAGTTTATTGTGTAGTGTAGCTGTATATGGACTGCCAAGTGAGGCTATGATAAGCTGTGTTTATTATGGCAGCACAACCAAACAATCGAGGTAAATGTGACAAGGGTTTGCTCAAGACTTAATTTTACTGTTATTAATGGTTTATATTCTTCAGGTTAGGTTAAGGTCATTTTGGTAATTATTTAGGACTATCCCGTGAGCGAAATTGATTTAAAACAATTATAAAAACGCTGGATTTTCATTGTTATATTATAGTGTATTCTTGTAGTTCGTGGAAATATGTTAAAAAAATTATATTTTTTAAAATAAACGCTACTTAACATTTGTCGCTATGAAGAACAGACCTAACTAACCAAACCAAACCAAACCAAACCAAACCAAACCAAACCAAACCAAACCAAACCAAACCAAACCAAACCAAACAAACCTACCTAACCTTACCTAACTACCCCGGTATAGTATTAAACAGAAAGAACTTTCTATGATATGGTGAAATATGAGGCATGAAATGATCCGGCCGCGTCGGCGCTATGCATCCTTGACGGGTTAGTCCTATATATTAACCGTCATTTGTCGTTAACCACCCATCACCTTTTTTCACGTGAAACATGTGGTTTTTGCTAGTTTTCTTGCTGTTTTAGATACTGACATTTATCTTTGGGGCTAATCATTTTTATTTTTATTCATTTTAGTTATTCCCAACCTCCTTCCACCCCAACAATGTAGGGGGCCACGTTGGGAATGCGGGGTTTTGGGTGGGAAAAAGGTTAACACTAAACTAGGTCTATGTACAAACCTAACTTTACCTGACCTAACAGCAGGCGATGCCCTAACCTCACCTGACCTGACAGGCCACGTCATGCTTAGCCGGACCCCTAATATCGCGTTTATTTTTGGAATGCCCTGCTAAACTTAAGTATATTCTTTCGTTTTTCGAAGAGATCTATTAATTGGTAAGAGAAAAAAGTCGTGAAAAAGGTGATGGGCTAGTTAACGAAAAATTACCGAGGTAAATACTTACGATAATGCTTTACAACACCGATTCGTGAGAAGGAATATCACTAGGAAAAAATATAAAAGAAACTTCATTCTCTCCACTACCTTATAAAATATAAAAAAGTCGATGGCATTCCAAAGGTATTTCGGTAAATTTTTACTTTAGGACATGAGTCCTTAGGGGTTTCAAGTGTATTTTGGTGTGTTTTAAACGAATCTGACCTTCATTTTTGGTGGAAATTGCTTGTGAGACTGGTCAATGAAATTACCCAGGCTTCTTCCTTTGAAAAAAATAAAATGTGATTGGTCGAAAAAAATTTGCGTGGCGATATCGAAACATCAGAGGTCACAACTGGATGACGTCAGTCGGTATTGCGCATGCATGATGCGCCGTTAACATCTCCTCACAGACGAAGACTGAAAACTACGTAAAATCAATTAAATTCAATTGTGTGCCAATTATCCATTTTCGCCATGTTATTTATGGGGTTCAAAATGCTCAGAAAAGGGAGATCTAAATGTTTCAGTAGTTTATAACTTTTGCGTACGCTATGTTGGAAAGTAAAATAATACCAGTATTTCTAAACACCTGCATTCCTGAATTACCACCTTCAGCGCTAGTTAAGACTAATGTGTGTCTTAATTACCTACTCACAACATTTCACTGCAGAACATATACCTGTGTAGCAGGGTGTGTCAATTTCAGGGGTCGTAGTGCAACTTTAGGAATTTTCTTGACGGCGGGTCATCAAATGATGCATTTTTATGTGTAGATTTCAGGAATAACCTTGGTGTTGAGTTTGGAGGTGTCCTACCTACATCAATTTTCATTTTAAATTTTGGGTTTGGGCCCAAAATTATAAATTTTCCTGTTGCTATCTATCACCAGTGTACTGAAATGAGACACTGGAAATCGTATTTGCAGGGTTTTTTTTTTAGTAATGTTTGACAATAGGTATCGAGGTTTTTTACTTTTCTCCTTGTAGTAATGATCACGAGCAAGAACACAAGTCACACACAGAACCTCTGTATTACAACGACTGACTCTACGCGATATACAGAAGTGGCCGCACAATGCAAGCACTATGTACAGATACATACACACACACATACATGTGCTCACATACTATACTATTCACCTCTTGAACTTGATGAGAGAGGCCAGGTCCTGCTTGCTCCTGTTCCTAGACATCAGAAGTCTGCTCACCAATTGGGACATGATCATCCCATCCCTTTTCTCGTGACTGTAGACACGGGCAGCTGCCTCTGTGACCAGTTTGACACACCTCGCCACACACTGATTGTGTGAAGGCCAGTCTGGCACCTCCATAGGCCTGTGCACAAACTGCTTGACTTGAGCTGTGGTGAGGGAACAGGTGAGGGGAGGTTCAGCGACCCCAGTGGTCCAGTCTATCAGCTCTGACAGCTTGGTGGCATCTGGGTTTATGTCAGGTGTTCTCCTGGGCCCGACAGAGTTGTCACCAATCTGTGTCTCCTCATCTCTCTCCCCCTCAACTCCAGTATCCTGTCCACTGCCTCTCTCCTCTCATCCTCCACCTCACTGCACAGCATGGCCTACAACACTGCCTCGGTGTGCATACCAGGCTGACCTCCTCACAGTGGGCATCACTGTGTTCAGCACCTTCTTCTTCTGACTTCTCAGCAGCTCCAGCTGGTACAAAATGTGCTTGGGCTTCTCCACCCAGCTGTAGTTGACTTTGATGTCTTAGTTATTATTATTGGTACATTAATTGGAAAGAAAACATTTATTTTGTTCCAAAATGTATGTACACTTAATGATTTTTTAATTGCTAAATGGTGGCAACACTGCATGCCTGCAGTTTATCTAGACATTAGAAAAGTAGGTGGTAATAGCAGAGGAGAGGATTAGCACCAGAAGGACTTTACAGAATTGCACCAAATTTTCAGAAAATGTTGGTTGGATGATGATAAGTAAGAAAATCAAAACGACAATGCACAGAATGTATTATAACTTGACCTAACCTAACCTACCTAACCCCACCCAACTTCCTAACCTGTGCAGTGTCATTTAAATTTTGTCACTATCATCTAAATAACATTCCTAGAAAATTTGAATGAATTTAATCCAATATAAATCATAATAAACACACCAGATGAGAGCGTCATTCATTTCTTGACATGTAAACAAAGACTGCAGACACTACCACATAGCAAACAATGTGAACTAAAATATGATCACCAAGGGAGATCCGACCGCACCATTACTATGGTAAACAGTTTATTTCTTCGCCTACAAAGCACTTACAGTTGTGAAATTACTGCCATATGATGAGCGTTCGATGTGTTTTTACCCCATTATTTCCCTTTTCTTTCATGTCCTGCCCACTAACAAGGACTTTATAATCAGAAGCTAGAGTAAAAAGAAAAAATATAAAAATTTTGGCATTTTGATTTTATTATTCAGTATCATCCAAACAACATCTGAAAATTTGGTGCAATTATTACTAAATCTTCCTGAATGTAATGTTTATAATCAATAAGATGTTAAAAGGTTATAAAAAAGGGCTACAAATACTTGAACCTTACTAAAACCAACATAATAGCATTAAAAATTAATTACCCCCCCCCGCAAAAAAAAACAAAAACAAATTTAGGCATTAACATATCTAGGTTTAAGCTAGGCGTCGCATTCTGGACTATATCACAAAAACTGGTTTTTACAAAAAAAAAAGAAAAACGGCTTTTTCACCAATGATTTTTGACAACCCTGGTTTTTCAAGGTCACTTTTTGGTGTTTGTCTTATTCTGGAGTTTTATATTTTTTTTTTTTACTAAGTGTACACTGGGAAATAAATTATTTTTCACTTATACTGTATAATCGATTCCAGATAGCATCAGGGTAGAAGTACCTTTTCAATCCTGATTTATTTCAGACGGCAACGCCCAGCGCAAAATTTTGGAAGATTTACAGTTGAAGAAGCAGTTGATTCTAAAACAAGGAGTATCACAAGCACTTAGTGCACCAGCTACTTCCCAGCAACCCACTGTAAGTTTTTGTCTATTATTAATTAAGTTCTCTTTTTTATTTTTTTAATTCACTGGTCTCACAAAATTTTTTATGGCCTAGGGGTTATCTAGAATGGCCTGTGAAATCCATACCGGTAAAACTCCCTCTTTAGAATCTGCCTCTGTGATGTTTAGTGGTAAGATGAACATCTTTGCTGACAACATTTTTCTGAAAGCAGCCCCTCACATAGCGGAGTCAGCCTTTGAAACCTCTAGTTCAGTGACTATCTCAGGTACTGTCCTTGTGAGGAGTTGATCGCTAAGGCTCACTTACACTTTAAACCATCCTTGACAGTAAAACGAATTCATGCCTTAACCTCAGTTCCGGCTATAATTTTTAACCAGCATCATGCAATTAAATTTTAATTTGCAGTACAGTATTACTTAGTTGTTGTTCTTGTCACACAGTCTGGTGTGCCCTTTTATGTTTAGAAGAGTAAATTGAGTTGTGTTTTAGAGAAGTAGTGATTATTCTGGCCATCAGTTGAAGTGCAGTCATTAAATGCTTTGCATATAACACTACCGTACATGATATCTGATGATGGTCAGCTTAGATAGAGAGGAAGTGTCCCTGTTATGCAATTTTTGTTTCATAAGAGTCCACAAGTTCTCAATTGGATGGTCTGGTGAATTGCTTGTCCTTTCATTAAAAAACTCCAATCCACTGTCTATAAGCCAATCAGTGACATATTTAGCAGTGTAACAGGGAGCCCCCCATCCTGTATAAACACTTCCACCTTGCACTTTTCAAATGAGTCAGGAAGATGGTCACACAAAAGTTCTAGGTAATTATACCTGTTCACCATAACATTCTTTGGTAATGCTATTAAGTCCCCCACACCATATTAGGGTACTTCACTGTGCTTGCAGTGTACCTATGGTATAGCAGATCACTGCCATGACGTCGGTAAACGCAACCAAATCTTTTGCCAGTCACCGAAAACGTGGGCTCGTCACTCTACAAAGTTGTACTGAACTTAGATTTATTCCATGCTTCATATTTCTTACAAAAAGTGATGTTTTTCTGCTGGTGTACACAGGTCAAGAGTGGTTTGGGATGTGGCTTGGAAGCTCTGGTACTTCAGGTTTACATGTATGTGGTTCTGAACTGTCCTTATGATGTACTAGGCAATCTTGGGTTTTTTCTTTTATTTTCTGAGCACTCAAGCATGGATATGCCTCCACTTGACGTTTAAGAACATTCAGGGTCCATTGTGAGGTTTTTCTGGCTTTCCCAGGATGTTTAGCATGGGACAGTGTTGAGCTGGGTTCGCCATATTTACATTTCTTTACCCACCATTGTGCTGATCTCAATGTCGCACCTATTATTTTTTAAATATCCTTAAGAGGCTTATCTCCTTTGTAGAGTGCAACAATAACTGCTGTCTTATCACTTGTAAGAGGTATATTTCCTACCATAATGGCTGGTAGACACAGGAATGATGACAACTCAAGAAAAATTTAGAAAAAAGCCAGGGAGAACAACAACATGCAACCTCATCTCAATGCTCACTAGAGTGCACAAATTTCAATGGCATCAACCAACACTATTTTATGGGTGATAAAGTTATTTGTGCCATCAAAGATGGCACGGGCCCCTCTCTCTCCAACCTCATTGGCTCTTATTGTATATCCATACCTGTTTAATGAAATATTGTTCTTATTATGCTTAGTGCTTGTTTAATTTTTTGTGAAGATCAATACATACAAAGTTCCTATTACGGGGTGGTAGCTCATACTTGTAGAATAACCATATATTGCAGTCACTCAGTGGTTTGCACTTACTCAGTACCTGTACTGTAATCCCTGGTGATTCTGAAGCAAAGTTCCTCAAATTGTTCAAAGAAGGACAATGAAACAGGTACCCAGGTTGAAGACCTTGGGTTACAAAGACCATTTAAGGAAGCTAAAAATTCCATGATTGACATAACACAGGACATGTTGTCAAAACCTTCAAGATAGTGTAGGTACACACAGTACTATATCACAAACATACTGTACAAGCCCACCATTTAGACTACAAGAAGGCAATACCATAGGTCACAGTTTTAAGTTATTCAGAACATGGTCACACACCAGACTTGGTCTATATAACTTCATTCACCATATTGTGGGCAAATGGAACAGCTTTCCAGAGCACATGGTCAGGTCCTCCTTTGTTACAAGTACAGGTACCATACATCTGTAAGTATACTTCTATGCTGGAGTCCTGAGTGAGGAAAATTGTTCTCTCAATCTCCTCTTGCCTGTTTTCACATCCAAAGATGAGTGTTAAACAGTTTTGTTAGTTACCGCCCCTATGAGGTGCAGGTGCTTGATAACATTGTACAGTACAGTAGTTTTATTTTGCCACCGTCTCCCTTTATAGGAAGCAGCAGAAATATACTAATTGTGTCAGGAGTTATCCTGGGTTGCATTTTGTAGACTACAGTACAGTCGACCCTCGTTAATTCGGACTAATAGGGGGGAAGGGTGTCCGTTTTAGCCGATTGTCCGAATTAACCGATTTAGTGGTTAATATTGCATAATATTGCATTATATTTCAAAGAAAATGCAGTGAGTTTGTCCTTAGCCTTGCATATGTCTGAAACTGTTTGCTTTTTAACACCATACTCATCACAAACTCTAGCCACCGAAGCACCAGCCTCTAACTTCCTTATAAGTTCCAGTTTCTGGTTCACAGAAAGGGTCACATACTTCCTCTTCGGCGTATTAGAGGTACTCCCCCTTGAAGACATGATGTAAAATACAAGGCTGAAAGATGCCTAATCACTGAAATATCAACGAAAATTGCAGGGCAACACAACACTAATACTCGAATATGGCGCTAAGTCAACAATGACTGGCGGCCTGGTGTGCGCACGCCATCTTTCGGACAATCCCAGAACCAGAAATTTGATACGGACAGTCCCTCGCTTAGTCCAGATTTCGTCCGAATTATCCGAAATCCGGATTAAAGGGGTCCGAATTAACGAGGGTCGACTGTATATGAGTAAATTCATGAGTGATGTTGTGTTGTTGACATGACTCAGCTACGATATGGGATTTCCTGTATCAATCCTTGATTCATGAGTTATAGTTAGATCACAGGGAGTTTGTGATAATTGGAAAGTTAAATCACCTCATATGAATCTTCACACCCTGGCACTGTTTTAGCATAATACATGTATAAATATCCACAGGGTTGGTCATCAGGCACAGACGGACACATTGCTGGTAACAGTCAGAGATCTAACCTGCTTCAAGCAACTTCCTCAAGCTTTGGCTACTTTATCCCACAAGATTCATCGTTTGGAAATTTTATATTACCAGTTCTGCCTCGACTAGAACCAAAATGAAAAGATCAAACATGGTTCATTGCAATTAAGTCTTAATTTCAGTAGATTAAAGACAGTATTTTATCATCAGAAATTTGATTATTTTAAAAGATGATGAAACTTAAAGAACTGGAGGCTTGGCTTCAAGATATTGATGGGTTTCAAGTTCCCAAAGTACAGTTGGAACAATATGAAACTCCAGCTCACATTGCAGCTCGCATGGTTCATACAATGGAATCTTCTTTTGGAGACTTAGAAGGAAAAGTTGTGGCAGATTTGGGATGTGGTTGTGGAATGCTAATGATTGGCTCTACCCTGATGGGAGCATCAATATGTTTTGGGTAGGTGCTAGTTGAGTATTTAGATTATTAGTATTATAGTAGAGTAATATTTTCAGAATATTAGTCTCATTGCTCTTGCATATATTGTTGTGGAACTTCTCACAGCACTAATCCCTAAAGTATCCATGTTAGGTATATTTCTAAGATGTTTTCAGTATCTCTTCTTGGCTAAACACTTTCACCACTTCTATTTAATACTGGTAAACACAAAATGTCATAAACTGCTGACACAAGTTCTCTGAATTAATAATTCCCAGCATTATCTTGATGATACAATATGAGTGTCCACTAAACTACAGTGTCACCCATTGCCTGGTTAGTTGGGTGAGTTTGGGTCACGATCCTGCTTGCATTGCATTTCGCTAAGTTTGACACTAGTCAGTCAGTATCACTGTCACACCAATAAATGTTGAGTCTGGTCTGGTCCTTTTATACAAATGTCTTGGAAGACATGTGATGGTTGATCATCATGGAAACCCCCCCCCCTTTGATATTCCTGGATCTGCCCCTCTTTTGATATTCCTGGATCTGCCCCTTTTGATATTCCTGGATCTACCCCTCTTTTGATATTTCTGGATCTGCCCCTCTTTTGATATTCCTGGATCTGCCCCTGCCTCCCTTTTGATATTCCTGGATCTGCCCCCTTTTGATATTCCTGGTTCCACCACTGCTATTGATTTGCTGATTGTACGTTAGTCACACAGTCCCCACGCTTGATTATAAAGTGGGATTTCAGGTTTAAATTGATCTGCAAAAGCTTCAGTAAAATGTATATAAATTTATTATGCTTATATTTTTTTCAGGTTTGATATTGATGATAATGCGCTAGAGATATGTCGTGAAAATTTGGAAGAGATGGAGATAATATCTGCTGAGTTACTTCAAGTGGATGTAAAAGACTTGGGAGCCCCACACTCACGATTCCTAAAGTTCTTTGATACTGTTGTCCTCAACCCACCATTTGGCACAAAACACAACCAAGGAGCTGATATGGAATTTCTTAAAGTTGCTCTTGACATATCCAAGACAGCAGTTTACAGCTTACACAAGTCAGCAACACGGACTCACGTGACTAAGAAAGCCAATGACTGGGGTGTAAAGATACAAGTTATAGCCCAGCTCAGGTATAATCTTCCCAGTACATACAAATTCCACAAAAAGAAGTCAGTTGATATTGAGGTAGATTTTATTAGATTATCTCATAAATAGTATTTTGCATGAAAAGTTTTTAAACATCTTTGCAGAAGAAAGCAATACAGCTCCTCTGTGTTAAATATCTGTTTATAAAATTAAGAAGTCTTTTAAGTATTTCTGAAAACTTTATACCAGACATCTTTTACCATAGTCAAATAAAAATAATATACAGAAAATGTTTCTAAGAGTATCAATTACTTCCTGAAGTTTTTATGAGTTTAAAAACCTAATCTTCCCAATTTCAAACATTCATTATGAAAACTAAAAAGACTACAATAAAAACGAAGATAGGATAATAAAGAAACTCGAAAAGGTATATTTTCAAGCAATGAAAGTTCAATATGAGCTCGCTTTGTGGCTCTATAAACACCAGAGCAGCAGAGCTGACGAAGAAGTTTGCATTCACACTGTATAGAAGGATGATGATATAGTTAAGTACTGTACTGGATATCAGTAATGTTGTTAGCCATGTTCTAATAATGTACAGTAAAGGTGTTGAGTAGTAAGAGAAGGTGAGGAATTTGGAAATGAAGAAATGTTTGAGGTGTGGAAAATGCCAGTAAAAAGATGTGGAGTGGTGTCAGTTGAAACTAGTCAGACGCCTGGTGAGAGCAGCCGAGCAGAAGTATTGGCTGGCACGCATAACTTTTGCACCTCTTTCCTGGCATTTTGTTGCTTGAACCACTCATATAGCACTTTACACATGTCTTATTTCTGCAGAATTTCCACCTTTTTTCCTTGGTATCACTTTAAATTTCCTTTTACCACTGTTTAATTAATTTCTGCCACTTTTGTGTTTGTTTGAGGGTATTATGAAAGCAAATTAAAATCAATTTCCAAAAAAAAACCAGAGCAAACTAAGCAGGAACCAAGACTCCCTGAAGCATCAATCATAGCTGTTGTCTGTGACCGTAGTGTTCGTGCCATGTGAATAAAGGAGGATGCAGTTGCTGATCAGGGGTTAAACGTGGATTTATTTTTTCCTTATAAAGAACAGACTTTACTGTATATTCAATCAGGTGATGGGAGTCAATAGAAAAATGTGCATTAATTTACAAAACATTTTTCAGAAATGTTAACCCTGGCTGTGCGGGAATACTTGCACCGAGTTAGCAGACAAAAATTTTATGCTGAATATAATATACTGTACAGCAGGCACGAGTAACCCGCGGCCCGGACTTCGTGTTTGTGCGGCCCATGGAGTAATTGAGAAATTCTATTTAATGTGGCCCGTGGTTCAGGCAGATGCAGCCACTGTAGGGTGAGTAAAGCAATATTTATTAAAAGAATAATCTTCTCACACAATTCATTACTGTTTCATCACCCAAAAGTAAGTAACTACGAAAATATAAGTGTAATAAGTTCGTATATATAGTCAACAATATAAACATTTTAACTTGTGAGTTTACGGGCCAAGATCGGCGCGGTCTGTTTGATGGATTAGCTGCTATATGGCAGTGGGTCACTTGGGAATTAACAAAGGTTGGGTAAGTCCAAGTGGGGTCACAGATGGTGGTCACACAGGGTTTAACAATTAAATGCTTCCAGAATAAAAAAAAAAGCACCTCAGAAACCTGTAGATGGATTGAAAGAACGTAATTAAAATATTCCAAGCATCATTACAGCCACTAATTACCCTGCAATTGAATCACTGATCATAGATTTGGAATCAGCATGCTTGGGAGTACCTACAGTGCAATTTTAAATGAAATAAAATTTTGGCCGAAACCGCCAAAATATTAAGCCATATGTCTTGGTAATTTTTTGACCGAAATTTACTTTTTTCTTGGAATTGGAATTTAAGAAGTCTAACTGATTAAGTACTTCCAGAATAACACAAAACACCTAAATCACACCGCGGAAACCAATAGTTGGCGGGTAATTAGCACTGAAATAATATAATTAAAAATTCAAAGCATCATTACAGCCACTAATTACCCTGCAATCGAATCGTGGGCCATAGATTCGGAATCAGCATGCTCAGGAGTAACTATACTGAGATTTTCAACAAAATCTAATTTTTGGCCTGAAACCGACAAAATATCAAAGCCATATGTCTTGGTAATTTTTTCGACCGAAATTTGCTTTTCTCTCGGAATTGTGATATAAACTACTTTAAAAATTATAATGGATTTGTTTCATAAATGGGAACAAGACTGATTGTAAACTGAAAATATCGTAAGGTGGACGTGACGATAAACTGCTTCACTGTCTGTGCTAATACAATATTAACATTACTTTTGGGTTAGGTAGGATGTAAATTTTGGTGGGAAGGCCTGCAGAAAAATATACCTAAATTGTAATGCGGTCCATGACTGGGGATAAGGTTGCCCGTGCCTGCTGTACTGTTAGAGGATGTAATCAGGTTTACTCTTGGCATAAAGAATGCCCCTAATTACAGAACTGGGATCATTCTTTTTTACAGACATTGTAATCTTCATTCTTTTTATTTAATGTATTTTAAGTAATGTTTAACTTGCCATGACTAGTTTCTTTTTGCAGTCATTAAACTTATTTCTGTATGCTAAGTAAACTAACATGCAACATTATTTAAAATTCCTGAAAGACAGCTGAAATCAAGATGCTAAACATATACAGTACTGTACTTTGTGACCATCACATATACATGAACCTTAATGTATTGTGATTTGAATGAATAACATTAAATATGGACAGGCTAATATTTTATCAAAGTCATTCCTTGAAAACACTTAAGTTAGTTTATTAACTTCTGATCATGTTTCCCTTAGCATGGCTTTTTTATCAGCACAATGCCTGTGGTCCACATACCACACCAAACTAGTTTTCTACCTGTGGTCATTATATGCAAGCAATAGTACACAATTAATTCAGACATTTAGTTCTGAAAGAAAATGAATAATAATTCCACATTTATTCTGCAAAATTTATTCAAACATTTAAATATTCAGACAAAATAATACAGCATCACAATAATTGCACTAAATAAGTAAATACAAGGGTATAATATACATATATGCCTTCTTTCAATTCCATGAAAGTTTACATGGAATGCATATCTTAGGAACAGTACTGCACAAATAAAAAAAAATTTGGACCTAAAGAAAAATACATTAAAAGTAGTGTATAAAGACTAGTTTACTGAGATCATTATTTATCACCCACGATTGGTCAAATTTTGATTATGACAAGATATGAAAGACTATTTAGCTGTCAATTTCTGTGCAGTTGTTGATTATATAATGCATATTACCATACTATACTGTACAGTAGGGTGGTCCAAATTATAGGGTGAAAGTTGTCTGAACCAAGAGAGCACATGGTGCCCTCGTTGCACTTCTTCTACACTAGCTTTGTATAAAATTTGAAGAAAATTGGATGACGTTTAGGGGTCTTGTAAAACGTTTTGTTATTTTAGTCATAAAAATTCTAGCTCACCTCAAGGACGATCACAAGGAACTCATTGTCGTGTCATACACCTTCTTGGGGGAGATTTCATGAGGGAAGTATGAAGATCAGGGCACCTGTGGCCTTCCACCAAGCCATATGGATGGCAGAGAAAAGTTCACCCTCACTGCTCATGAAATGCGTGACCCCTGAATATTGAGATAAGGAACTGAAATTTTACCAGAGGACAAGTTTGGGGTAAAGGTATTAGGGTGACATGTGTCTAAATTAAAATTCCAACTTTTAATTTTTGGACCACCCTATGTACAGTACATGCATTTCTATCAGAAGATGAACTGGATGTTTTAATCAGCATAATAGTGTACTGTATTGTGAACATGGACTATTCATAAGTCATGTACAGTACAGTATAAGGCAACCAACCTTGGTAATTTAAGATACAAGCTTAGGCACCTACCTCCTGAAACAATAATAAGAGTCATATTCCACAGTGAAAGCTGTGGATGTGTTCAAGGTCATGGGTAAATTATAATTCTAAAACTAAATTTATGGAAATTAATATATACATAGAGAAATTAGGTTGAGATGAAATGATACTTATAAAAAAATCTAAATGAAAAAAAAAACTAGTGAATTAGATTTTTTTTTTAATACAGGAAAAATTAGAGTAGTGACATCCCCGTTGGCTGGAACAATTGGTGCGGAGCACTTCCGGGAATGAGAGACTTTCAGGTAATGAGACGACTCTCTCAAAGCTGGAAAAAATCCCTCATCCCCGGAATTTTCCGGTTAATGGAAAAATGTTCTCGTTAGTTCCAGAAATTGCCCATTACATCATCTCTCGAACCTGGAAAAATATCCCTCATCCCCCGGAATTATCCAGGTAACGGAAAAATTTTCTTGGAATTTCCAGAAAATGCGCCTGATTTTCATTTCTCAAACCCGGAAAAAAACATTCCTGGAATTTTCCGGGTATAGGGAAAAAATTTTTCATAATTTTCTGGAAAATCTGCCCCTCGGAAAATCGTTCTCAAAGCTGTAATTTTCCGGATAATTGCGGCTTTGGGAACGATTTCCCGAGAAAATTTCAATTCCGGCTATCGGAGAGTTCCGGGTTTGAGGGATTCTGGCTAACGGAGATATTACTGTACTAGAATGATAGTTTACACCTAGAATATATGCCAATAGTAAGTATGACTTCTTATAGTCTAAATTATTTCAAGAGGATTAAAATAAACGTCTGACACCGTGTTACAATATCATCACACATTGTCCAACAAATTTAATACATGGAATGAATTGAGAAAATTTTTCCAAGTTGCAAGCCATTTGAAAATGGTATTGGAATGTCACAGTTTTTCACTCCCTAAAACATACAGGTCATTCATACATAGTGAACAATGGGGCAGCAGTTTGCTAAATCAAGTGAAAAGGTTGCTGGTTAATAGTGAATTACTGTATACGTTTTATCCAAAGCAAACAAGCCTATCCCTGCCTAAAAGTTTAATGTACTGCAATATAACTATAATCTTGATCTCAATTAATATTATTTTCTTCAATTTAAAAGAAAAAACTAAGAACTTGCACCAGTACTCTTAGCTCTGTTGCGAGATTTGCTTTACTGTAATGGCGGATCGTTATTCTGTTGTTGTTAAACAACTACTGGTACTGTATATATCACCAACATCATTAATGTCTTGGGAAAACTAAATGGGTCAAGTTTATTATCAAACTCATATGAATTCTTTCGGAGACTGATGCTCTGGCAAAGTTTCATTAAAAACTTTTGCTCCTTACAAGAGTTTTAAGTGTTTACACAAAGGATAAGTTGTGCACACAGTGACACACAATTGTATATAAATTAATTCTGGGATATAATAAAGATGATGTACTTTAATTCAGAGGATAGATTTTTATATTTCTAAAGAGTATGCTATCATAGTAAAGCCTTATATGAAGCTCTAGTACTGTACTACACAACTAGAATTTTTTTGTATGGAATAATTTCATTTGATTGTTATGTAATATTTTTATGGAAATAAACAGAGTGTAAGGTAACACAAATATAAATAATTTGTCATTCAGAAGCTATGAAATTAATATCTTTTAAAGCAAGTTATTTTCTATTGTTCTTGGATATAAAGCACTATTACTGTACTTGACATTACAATAATTAATTATGTCAAAACTTGTGAGTACAATAGTGTTAAGAAGGAATTAAGGGTGTCCTTTTGCAGATTTTTGCAGGAATCACTTCATGAAGGCAAGACTTTGAAAGCAAAATAATTGAGGATGCAATTATAGCTATACTGTACAATCAAGAAAATAATTTTCAAGTTTGGAATTTTTGATTAGTCACAAAGTTTGACTAAACATGCTACCCATTTTCCATAAAATAGATTTTGTATTTAAGCAAATCGATAAGCTACAGTACTTTTTAAAAAGATGCCTACTAAAAATATTTATATATTAGCTTTAAGCTAAACCTGTTAATGCCAAATAAAGTTTTAAGGCTTGGTAGACTAAAATGGAAATGGCCAAGAAACTGAAAAAAAAAATGTGTCTTTTGGCCTTATGAAGAAGTATATATGCATAAATAGAAAAAAATTATTAAACAAATTTGAAGAAAAAATTTAAGCTCTACAGTAGGTTTGGAGATCAATATGCATATCTTAAGTTACAAATGTTTCTTTCAGGAAATATAATCAGCATGCTAATGCAAGAAGAACATTACATCAGTATCACACATCCTTAAAATCTTCCAAACGCATTTTTCTCCAATACAGCAACACCAACCAGAACCTCCTTAAAAGTTCAACTCTAGATCCACTTTTCTCAATATTGATATATTTTATTGTTAAGCCCATTACATGAAAGATCTTGAAGCACAGTATTGATGAAAAAATTCCCATTTAGCTTTAACATAAGAGTCTATTGTATTTCTGGTAAATCACCATTGTGAAGGGGATCATCCCCCTGCAAATGATAAAATAATGATGAAAATTGGATTACAGGTATCTCGTTAGATTTCGAAGTGCTGTCCAACTACTGTACTGCAGTTCTTTCACCAAGAAGCTCACATCTAATGACTCCTGACACCTGGAAGAAAGGCCATGAATCCACCTGTACGAAAAACTTTGAGGAAAAATATGGAGCAACGAAAGCAGCAGCACCAGCAGCTGTTAGACTGTGGAACCGTTCTCACCAGCTGTGTGTACTCTAAATGATGGTGATGGTTCAAATGATTATCCCGTGGTGAAGGAAGAGTGTATCAATCACACGAGCAAGCGAAAGACTCAGAAAAATCAAGACATTACAACAGCGGTGACCAAAACTAGTAAGATCGAGGAGTGAACTTGGTGGTGCCTACATGTTGACAGATAATGTCACTGACAATTTGACAATACAGGGTATCATGGAAAAGCAATACGCAACAATGTGTTCAGCTACCATCTTGACTTACTTGCGTGTCATCAGTACTGATGACACAAGTATTGTCCAGATGGAGAAGAGTTTCTGGCAAAGATAGACAAGAGAAGCAGCAGATTATTTTTGGGCATATCTGTCGACCTTAACAAGACTGAACTTATGCAAAAATGCCTCAAAGGAAGGACACAATCAAAATGAAAGCTTCCATGCCAAGATTTGGAGCAAGTGCTGCAAGATCAAGTTTGCAGGGATTGCCAGATTTTTTTTATTATATAAGTAATAGCTCTGGATCATAACTTTGGGTATGAAGCACCTAATTTGTTGTCCTCCCTTGTGTTTCCTAACCACCAGTCCTTCCCGCATGGTTCTTTGGAAGCAAGATGTTTCATACCCGACATCACTCAAGAATCTGGCCAAGAAGGGGAAGACAAGTAGACAAAGTTCAGCATACAATACAGTCCTGGGGCATTCTAATGAACTCTGAACCAGGCAACAATTAGAAAGGTGGCACCTTTTGACAATCTTGCTCTCCAGCAAGTAATATCCTGTTTATAGTACTAAAGTACCATCAGTCCATGGTCTTTATATGGTCAAAAGCACAAATAATTTCCATTAAAAGTGTTTCCTGTACAGTATATCTATTAGAAAAACCCAACCACATATTAAAAAAAAATTAATTGAAACACTGCTGGGTGAACCCAAATGTCATGTAAATCCATCCATAAATAAAAAATTAGGGTTCCATCAGGACGGTCACCTACAAACCATAATATATCACAACATGCAATGTCGTCAATGGTAATCTGTGCTCAGTAACTTGAAACTCAGGCTAAATTAGTTTATTATTTTCATAACACTCACAATACATTTAGATTATATATGAACTTTCTCATTTATTCTGGGTCAAAATAACAGCACAAGCTTACCTACTGATGACTGAACAGTGAACCATCTCTTGTGGTGCTGCTGGAGTGTGTCAACCTCAACTTACGAGGTACAGACTTCTCACTGTTTTATGGGAACTACATGAAATGTATTATAAATAATTTAAAAAATAATATTGATCTATATCTGTCTTAAGTAACATAAATCATCTTATAATTGTACTAAAACAAAGGCTTTATCAACCTATATTTTCTGAATTACATAAATGGGAATCCCCTTATTAGAGAAATACCAATAAAGTTCATGTAAGGTAAGTGTGTTTTAAATACTGTACCTGTATATACTGTGTTCAATGAACACAGTATATATTACATGAGGGTGTGTTCAAAATTGGACCAAATTAACATCTTGCCTTCCCTTTACCGAAGGATTTTTCAGATTTTCATAGAAATGTCATACTTTACTCAATCTGTAGAATGAACACCATATAATACTGTACTGTAGAAGTACATACAAATATTATGCTCAAAATATCACTCATAGATGCTTATTAATTTCAGTAATAAATGCACTTATCTACACTGCCTAAATTTTTTTTAGTCCTCTCAAAGTGTTAACAACAGAATATCTAATTTTATCATAACTATTCACGTAAATTTGTTTAAGTTTAGGCCTGGAGATTTTCAACTTCACGTTGGATATTTTTCCGGGCAGTTTTTTCTCGTTCGGTTTGAAATTCTCTTGTTGTGTAAATATTGGGCATCAGGACCAGATTCTTCAGCATCTAGGTGAGAAAACATAAGTGATAATGAAGAATTGGAGAGAAAAATATATTACAGTATTAAGTAAAATAAGGACTCGCAGATTCAAAAAATATATAAGAATCTGTAATTCAAAACAATGATGCACACAAATTACAGCATAAAGTGGTCTAAAGCTTCTATGAACATTCACAACTTAATATACCACACACATTGCAAGGATATAAATTAGCCTGATTTCACCCCCTGAATAATCATCAAGAGTTTGGTCAAACAGAAGTTTCTTTATGTGAAACCTGTACCTGAAACTTGTATTAAACACGATAATAAAAGTAATTTTAGCTTGGCGAGATATGCAGGAACACCCCAGTTATCAAACATTAGGTGACAACACTTCAATGTAATGAACAAGACTCGGAGAACCCAACTGGCTGTATACAAATGTTCCCTCAGATTTACAAACACTATAATATTTACTCTTATTAAAATGGAAACAAACATCAATGAAGCAGAAATGCAAAATTATTTATCAATACATTACCAGTATATGGTACTTATTGGTAAATATTCATATTTACCAATACTGTACAGTAAAAAACAAAACAAGTGTTCCACATCTGGATGTTTAGTGGACTGATCAGTAAGTAATACTGACTGTTTGCCTTGGCTAAAGCTCACAGGAAAATAATAATTACAGTACAACATGCTCTGACAATTCGCAGACCCCAAATATTCGTGGATGACACCCTGGATGTACCCAAGAATACCTAAGGGTAGTTTTAAAGTTGCTGGCATTTGCGCAGCCGGGACAGGGAACCATTCGTTCTAGAGAAAGTAGTAATTTCTTTTACCTGTACTGTATATGTGTGTGCAGACACACAAATACAGAACACATACAAATAAATAATAATGGGAAAATACTCTCACAAATAATTCAGAAACAAGACAACAAAATTTAGAAAAAATATTAGTCTACCCTTAAGTCAACTCTATGCTTTGTTATTAAAGTTATAACAAAGTCTTGTTTCTGATTATTTGTGAGAGAATTTTTCCATTATTATTTATTTGTATGTGTCTGTGTGTCTACACACACACACATACTGTATATACAATACAGGCAAAAGAAATAATTGTCCTAAGGGCAAACACATAAAAGGAATACCCAGTATACATTACTTTGCACATAGTAAAAATGTATCCCCCCTCGGTCAGAAAATGATATTCGCGGATTTGGCTATTTGCGGCCATTTTGAGAACCTAGCTCCCGCGAATTTTATTGGCATGCTGTACTTGAATATTTAAAATGCAAATACGTACTAAAAATTAATTTAACATAACTGCCCTTAGACAGCTATAGTCCTTATACTGTATTACAATAATGCATGTAAAATCTTAGCAAAATTGGGGTGGTTCAAAACCTAGCCCACATAATTACAATACTACACTGTTCCAGAAGAGGAATTAGCTTTTGGGTTCCAAATAACTACTTTACAAACTGGTTCTTCAGTCCCTAATCTGATCATTAGCCAGGGCGACCCTGTAATACATACACAAACAGTTAGAAGGTAATTGTATTAATCACCAGCCTGGGAACCAAGTAATACCATCACTGCTTTACATATTTTCCACACTTACATGGGTTAGCTGTGATTACATAATGGCAAGTTGTCCTAGTTGTTTCAGACAAATTTGAAGCCAAGTTTTATGGCTGAATGTCTTTCCTTTTGCAAATCTACTACTGTATTACAGACAGGGAACTGGACATTATATGAAAGACTTCCAGCAAAGGAGGGTCACTACTCCCTAAGGTAATCAATGATTACTGTACTTGCTAATTTATTCGTGGGTAGCATCTGGAACTATTAGAATAATAATTTACTATAAAACTGAACATGGCCAAATCTCATAACTTTTGAAGTTTATCGAAGCACCTTGTGCATCTGACACACATTCAGCTTCACATCTCAAGACTCACTCAGTCTTGTAGCACACCTGTAATCAAAATACTCATGATCTATTTTCCTCAAACTGCTTCATGTTCTTCTTGCAGCCTCCCATAAGTAAATCAAGTGGTATCAGTAGTGATAAAGGTGCTAAAGTGCCTAAAGCGAATTGTTAGCACTAGCACAGAAACAAAAAAAAATTAAAAACAATATCATGAAATATATACAAATATTCTGTATATGAAATACAATATAAAAAACAACTGAAAGGTGTGTGTGTGTGCATAATCTCACGGTCATCATCTGATCATACACTACCATGGTCCATCTTGCACTAAAACAAAAAGCATGTAATAACTGCAAAAATACATAAAAGAAGCCATAAAAAAGCAAAGAACAGACCAACTGCCCAAATGACTAATACATAGACAAGTGGTGAAACGGTACAGTTGGCCATAAAAGTCCGATAACTTTCCTGAGACTCTAAACCGAAAGTTTCAAATTTCTTATCCAATGTAAATAACAAGAGATAATTGTACTACATTACCCAATATTAACCTGATATACTAAAAATTATTTGTTACTAACTTTAAGTCTAAGCTGGTTATAAGCAGTTGTAGGAAGATGGACGTATTCAGCTTGGATTTTAGTGGTGTACTGATCATACTCTGGTGCAGGGGCCCCTAACACAGCTGTGGTAAAATCCAAGAAATAGTGGACATCATCTGATCCAGATCCGCCCTCCATCATGTGGGCCTCTGTCAAGTTGCTTACTGAAGCCTCCAGGAGGGACCGCACTGCTGCCGACAATGGTGAATCCTGAAAGGTACAACCTTACCGGTAGTCACCTTATAAATATTACAAACTTTCCTTATTTCCATCTCCACCAGAAAAACAATTATTTAAAAACTAAATCAAATTATAACAGTTATTTCTAAAGATATTTTTATTTCCATCCATCATAACTTATCAAGGGATTATCCCTACATCTTCATATAAATACAGTGCTCCCACAATTAAGCCATTTTCATACTTATATCTGCAAATTCTTGATACTATCTATGTAATTTCCCTGATGGCCATCACAATTAGATGTGGTCATGATAGGGGATGGAGGCTGATGGCCTGTGAAGGATCCCCCATTGTCCTTGATAGTTTTGTCCAGGTACATTTTGAAGCCCAGTACTGTACTGTATTGTTCTTGCTTCTACGGTTTCAACAGGTACACTTCCACAGATCTGCCACCCTCGCGAAAAAGTACTTTCTTATATTTGCTCTGCATGACCTTGAAGCTACAACCTCTAGTTTGTGGTATTTGATATCACATAAAATTTATATTGGTTTTGGTCTTTCAAGATTTTTTGAGTGACTCGAATGTTTGCCCACCTCCATATGCCCTATCATAAAATCAGTTATGCAAAGTGTATCCTTCATCTGGAAGTGCAGTGACATTTTATAACTCCTATGTTGGAACTTTTCACTTCATATCAATGATTGAACCAGTACTGAAATGTACCTTTTGCAAATACTGTAACTAATGTATTTTTCAATGTATAGTACAGTATAGTAGTGCACATTATGCTGATTTTTTAAATATTGTACTGTATAACATTTATATAAAATGTTTTTCAATGTACAGTATAGTAGTGTACTGCACTGCAGCTTTTGTAAATATTATAAATAATGCAGTTTAAAGACAAACTGACTCATTTTCCACAGCATTTAAGGAATTATGAAAATAATAGGATTTCAGGCAATGTGCATATAATTATTACAATAAAACTGTATATAAAAAGACCATGATTAGGTATTCAAAGACCAAATTTCCAAAATTCTAACAGTTCTGGCCCCAAGCAATTTGGAAAGTTTAACTGGAGTGATTTCATGACACCGTTTTGTACTACAGGTAATTATAAAAAACTTAATAATTACAGTGGCTAAATCCCTCATCATGTACCCCTAAACTTTCATTTCCCAAAACAAGGAAAGCATACAAAACCTCTCAAGTAAGTCTGATTCTATTAGAAAGGGTCTAATTCCCCTACAGTCTGAATTTACATATTTTTGTAATGACTGCTCAATTATTATTAACATGTAATTTACTCTGAGGGAATCAGTAGTTCCTACAGTTGATTCTATCTCCATCATCATCACCACCACCACCATTTTATGGCCATTTTCCAAGCTTACATGGTCTCTTGCAGCCTCTCTTCCCTTTGACATCAGGCAAATCTGAAGCAAGTTTTACTGATGGATGTCCTTCCTACCACCAACCCACTTTTAAAGAAAGGGAACTGGATTTTTATATGTAGAACTTCCAAGCATCCTCTTAGCTGGCAAGGCATGGTTCGAACTTTAAACTCTCCATGGTAGTCAAGGATTGCCCACTTACCCTCAATTCAAATTCACAGGCACTTGCTACTTTGGTATGCAGTAATCCCAGCATAACCATTAACAATATAAGAAAACATGCCAGTGCCACTTGGCTACTACCAGTAATCTACAACAGCACCGTATGTTTTTTTTCCCTCAAAGAAAAAGGTACAAAATGTGAACAATTATAAGTATAACAGTAAGAAGGTTGCAGATTTGTAGTGATTTAATTGGGTGGGAAGCCTGGTATGTGTTTTTGCTTGCAGCAATACATTATCCATTACAGTAGTTTCCTTAAAAAATTGGACACCCACCATGATGCTGGCAGGGTCTGCCAGTGAGGTGCTTTGCAGTGGTATGTCCTACAGATCCCTTGCAAGGATGTGTGGGCCATAAAAGTACAGTACAGTATAGAATAAAACACAAACACACATTACCTGGTGGCCTTCTCCTGCTTCTGAGATGAACTCGTCAAACTTCTCAATATTCTTAACATCAGAATCACCACTCCGTGGGTTATACTCCAATCTAATAAGAGAATGGTTAAAAATTATTATAGTTAAGTCAAAATACAGTAATTCTACTATTGAGAGTAATATTGGTCATACATAACTTTCCTTTATTACACCCAGAGTAAACTACCTGTACCTATATATCCACCCCAAGAAATTCAAACATTTATGAGTAACGGAAAAGTTGGAGGATTAAGTGCAAGTGTAAAAAACACTACTAGTACAGTACAGTACAAAACTTTCAAGCGTGTGATGATAAATGAGGGATGTATCCTGAAATTCTGAAGCTAGGCACCTCAAGGGCCTCTGTTTAAAGCTCAAAGACTTGCCTACTTGATGCTAATGCTATCATAAAAAAATATCTTCCTCGAAGTCATTTGTGAATCCTCTGATACAAAATATCCAACACTGTCCACAAAGATCATCATTAGAAAAAGGATCCAAACACGTCTTTCCAGGCTCGAGACAAGAGGTCTGTGACGAAGGCCTCTGCTAAAGATCTACTTAGGGCTCCTAAAGTCAGCAGAAAAAACATTCTCAAAACCCTGAAGAAAAAATCCAAATAAATTACATTAGAATCAAAGTTAACTAATAATCTAATAAATGCTTTGAGGACCAAAAATTTAGGAAGTCAAACATGAACGACTTTGAACAGACCAAATAAACATATAACTTCCCCCCATTAAACTTGGACCCGATGCAAGAAAAAACCCACAATATGACTTGCCAAATTTAAGAGAGGAGGCTATCTAGCCACTGTACTAGACGTCAAAACCTATCACTAAGAAGCGGTCTGATTAATTTCAAAATGAACACAAGAGACTCCTGTTGTCTAAAATATGATCAACTAAAGTAGCAGAGCAGCAAATAGTTAGAGAGCTGTCATTACTATACCCCTGAAATCCCTACAAAGAGATACAGTAATAGAACAAACTTTCAAATAACAAAACCTGAATTTTCTCCTACAGTACTTTTATATATTGTATCCACAATCCACCCCCCCAAAAAGTTAATAGAAATTTTCCCCCAATAATTAAAGCACCAAGCTCAGTTGAATTTCTACAAATACTGTACATGTACTGTACTATACAGTATTTTTATAATGTGGATAATATTGGTCATAATCAATACAGTGACACATCTCACCACGTGGTTCAATAGTGCGTTTCAGACCTGACTGCAGACAGTACTTAGAGGCTGAAGTGGTGGATCTCAGAACGATGTGGGCAGTGCAATTCCAAACTTGAGTTTTACAATTTATTTTGAGTACTGTACATGAATTTCAAACACCATTTCACTTGAGTAATGTATCGCAAATTTACCGGTATATACAATTAATTTAAATCTGAGTTAAGTTTTTATTAAGAGATACAGTACACTATATAGCACAGTGAGGTGAGCCAACTCTACCACCCTCCACAGTTATAAGACACCTACTTGTGAATCATATTTGTTTTGTATATTGAAAAAAAATAAACAATTGAAATAAACGTTTAATATTCTATCTCTTGTTCAAATGAATAAATAATATAAGAACCAAGTAAACTGAAGTAAAACTGACCAGATAGTAAATAATCAGTTTAGTTGTGCACAGCAATTAGGAGAATTTTCTTACAAAAATCACACAATAATTTTTTATTAGAAAACTCGGTCACTGTCATAAGTAAAAGTGCCATGCACCTGTAAACAAAGCGGGCATAAACCATATATGACATGATGCAAACTAACCAAACAAATAGAATTAAAAATTCTTTAAATTCATATTCATAGATGGTCTTGGTTTTATTTGTTTTGTACTGTATTATAATTAAAAGTTGTGGGAGGGGAGTGTGGACGGCCCAAGAGAGTAGTATGGGTGGCCCCTTGGAGTGAGATGAAGGGAGGGCTGGTGTCCTGGGCCCACTACTTATCTGAATGGTATGTTGTTTCCACCCCACTTTTATTTAATAAGTATTAAATTAATATCTTGTACAAATTGGGCCTTATGTAAGGTATTTCATGAAGTAACTTCACAAAAGATCGAAAGCTATAGGAATTATTATGCAGTATTTTACAGCAGTGAAGAAAAGTTTCAAATACTGCCCTATAATAATGTTTGACAGATCTTTATATGCAGTGCAACAAGGTATAACAACCTTGTTTGTAATGCAAACTATGAAGAAATTACATCTCACAGTGAAGCGTGAAGATAATTGTACCAACATACTTGTGGAAAAATATGGCTAATGCCACAGCTTGAGGATTTGTGAGCTTTTCTTGGTGTTGGTGGTAAAGAGCAAACAGCTGAGCAAGGTAAGCATGACCATGATACACCCTGCCCTCCTCTGTGTATTGACGACTGACTGTGCTCCACCAGCGCTCGCTCACAGCACCCGCAGCGAAGCTAGTGGCAGCATCCCATTCACTTCTGAGATCTTCCATTGCCTTTAGTTTTCTGCAATAACTAATCAGAAATTATTGGATGGCAATAATATTCTCAGTACTGTACAGTAATGGGATTACATTTCAACATAAATGAACCTGTTAAACCAACTTAGCACTTTTGCAGGACATGGGTTATTACTCATGTACCATTTCCATATATATATACAGTACCTATATATATTATATATATACACACAACTTACCTGTTCACTAGCAAGCCAATAAAAAACCCTGAATAACAGTACGTAAAGTGAAAAATTTTGACAACTGGTTTCTGAAATGTTTTTGTATGGAGATGGAGTCCTGCTGCCATGTCTAACCTCAGCTTGGAGGCCTTACTTCAGTAATACCTACACCCCAATCCCCAAGACATGTTTACATCACCCAACATCACTTTCTTTATTCAACCAAAGTATCATGGAGTGATAGCAACATTAAAATGTAAAATTTGAGGCAGATATTACCTCAGCTGATTGAAGCTCCTGAACTAACATATCAAGTACTGTAATCCCATGTTTTTCACGGGATTTTTTATCGCGGTTTTGACCATTCGCGGTTTTTTTACTAAAATATTATATATACTGTATATATAAAATATCCTTTAAAAACAAAAATTTTAATTCCGCCTCAGACACCCGCTGCTCCGAGAAGCTTCAGTTCACACATACCTACTGTACTGTGAACGCTACTGTGACTGCGTGAGGGCGGGCAGACGCCGGGACAGCAGGGAGAGGCTGGCAATGCAGGTGTTGCCGACCTCAGCGAAAAAAAAAAAAAAAAATTTACTTGTAAATAAATTTTTTTGGTATACAGTAAAAGTCCAAAAATCCGGATGCCAGAAATCCAGACCACCCGAGAATCCGTACTTTTCGAAACCTTTTTTCTTTTTTCTTTTTAATTTAGCGGGCTCTTGTGTGTATGTGCGCATGCATGAGTGCCACAGCTGCACAGCGACAACAAGCAACCACGCGGTCGCCACTTTAAAACGAGCAATCAAACTGTGACAACATATGTAATTTTGAGTCCTACTCTTTCCATTTACACAGTACTGTACAAGCCCATAATAATGGCTCCTAAAGTAGATAAACTTCATTGTGTGAAGAGAAAGAAAAACACGTTGAAATTGAATGACAAACTTGAAATAATTAAGACACTAGAACGTGGTGTGAGCAATACTGTTCCAATGGAAACATACGACATTGGAAAGTCTACAATTTATGATATAAAAATGGCAAAGAATGAAATTCTAGAAGTCACAGCTTTTTCTTTAAAACTGCTCGTTTTGATAAGTGAAGCATGTTATATTTGGTACTGAATAGACTATAAAAATTTACCTGTTCATCTCTTCTTTATTACTCCTTAAATTTGAATTTTAAAAGTACTGCCTGAGAATCCGGACCGACCCAATGCCGGTACAGTGCATCAGTGATCAGTGTGACCACTGGGCCGTGAGTGGAGAGCATGGCGTGGTTAAGTGCATGACCTACCTGAGCTGTTTGGTGGCCACAGGTACAGTGATTCCTAAAAGCATATTCGCGGTTTTGGCTTTTCGCGGGGTTTCAGGAACGTAATTCCCGCAAAAAACACGGGATTACTGTACTGTACTTCTCTACAACTGCCTAAGTCACACAGAAAACAATGTCACACACCACAAACACGAGGGGACATAACTACAAGCTTGTAAGTTATCGTGCAGAACAAATTTAAGGAAATACAGTAGACATATGGAACGGTCTACAGTACCAGTACAAGCTGTGGAATCAAGCTGGACTTCAAAATAGCCACCTCTAGTGGGTGACCATTAGGTAAATAAAAAAAGTACTGTAATAAGGTCAATATTGGTGAGATATGCACATTACTGCTGTACCACCAGCACCAACAGTTATGATTTTTATTTCACATTTTCCATCTGCTTCAAAGACCTGCCCACTTCTGGTGGGATCAAGATTAATAGGGTAGGAAGGGTCATAGCTAAATAATTATGAGCAACTGCAAACATCCATTATCACCATTGTATGAGGCATGAAAGCATTTTTTTTTTTTTTTGGTAATGTCTGAGTGCACAGAGGTTATTACTTATTATAGTAAGTACTTTAAAAGAGGAAACATTTACTATTACCTAATAAAACCTGACCTAACCAATCAAAGATACCTACCTATCCTTAACTAACCTCTAAACCCCCCCCCCATGATCCCTGCCATATTAAAACGAAAGTACCGGGTAATTATTTTGGTATCTGGTACAATAAAAGCATCTTTGTTAAAGCATAACGGTGTAATTTAAATTTTTTTGTGGCTGTGAGGGTACGCTCAGACTGAGCGGGTCAGTTATAAGCAATAGACAACACAAGATGACTCAGCAGATTCTTTGGAGGAGTATTTACGGTAAATAATTAATTTCTTCATGAACAAAACACATACACATCATTTTATCATCATATGATTAGTTTTACACCATGTTTTACCCTGCAATTTCCCCCATCCTTCATGTCCTGCTCACTTCTTTTTTTTTTACTTTCACCCTCTTCACCACTGATCGACTCGCTAGCCGCTTGGGCGATCGGTCACGTCTCTGTTACACACTGTTGGCAAGTACTGGGCATGCACTGGCTCCTGAATGTATCTGAACCCACTCCAGTGTTGGTCAAGTCTGGTCTTGAAAGAGCTCACACTCGGTGCCATCACAACACTCTCTGACAGATTGTTCCAAGAGTGCACAACTCTCACTCTGAAAAAGTTACCCCTCACAGTTTTCTGGGCTTGCGGCTTCTTCAACCTGAGCTGTGACCCCTTGTGGGGTGAGCGTCCACCAGCTCCAGGTAAGGAAACTCGACTGAGTAGTGCCCTTTGAGCTGTTTCTACACCTCAATTAGGTCACCCCTTGTCTGTCTGTAGTATTAAGTTAGGCAATTTCAGGCGCTCTAATCTTTCAGGGTAGTTGAGGTGCCATAGTGCAGGCACCAGTCTGATGGCCCCCCCTTTGGACATTTTCAATCAACTGACAAATCCTAGTATATCTTGGGGGACCAGACAGGGAAGCACTTCGCTCTTGAAGATCGTTACGAGGGATGGACCGTCTAGATATCTGAACTACCTTCTTATAAGACCTAATAATATAGTTGACTGATTCACCTTCTTCTCGCAATGGCCCGAGAATTTCAACTCATTGTCAACATACACACCTAGGTCCTTCTCACATTCAGTCTCAATTAATGCGGTTTCTTCGTCCCATTGGGACATATGATACGCCTCCTTACCGTTGGTATATCCCAGGTGCAGCCTCTTACATTTCGAGATATTGAATCTTAGCAGCCATTTCTTTGACCATTCTTGAAGCTCACAGAGATCCTTCTGCAGTTGTTCACAGTCTGCATGTCATTTATGAAGCAAACAAACAGAGAAAACTAAAAATAAATAAATAAAAAGTTGTTGCCTTTTAAAATAGTTAGCATAGATAAAGGAATATGTGGAAATAATGGACGAAATCCAACAACTTCTAGTAGTGGTGCTGCTCTCAGAAATTACCTTTTTTTTCATGCCTAAATTGTTTGCAGTGTTGGGGTAAAATTACCTAAATCTTAAATTTAAACAGGAACAAGAACATTCAAGCAGTTTCACATGAAATTTTTTATTTTTAAACGTGAAAGTTTCTCTTAAAATTTTACAAAAAAAAATAATGTGTAGGCAATATAAGATGTTAAGCTCACTTCACATTAAAAGGCAAACAAACTTCTCATATATCAGGTATTAAACTGCTATAGGCCTTTATAGATTCAATACCATTTATGCCCTAGTTGTGCCTAAGACCGTAAACGATGATCTCTAAACATGCATTCACTAATTTACCTCCAAGGAAATTTCCCACAGCTACATAAGCTTACCATCTCTACACCATTTCATTTTAACAACACCTTCAAAACACTGTACAATATTCAATGAAGACAAAACAACCTCAGCTTTAGTGATTCAGCTCCCCATCGTATATAAACAAGATCAATGAAGTAATAATTCATTTGCACCAAAGCGTCCAATATATCACACATTCATTTATAATCTCTATAACTTACACTCACATACAGCTACAACCTTTACTGTAAAACATGTAATAGTAACATCACAGTAGTAGTATCTATGACTAGGTATATAAATCCTGTTTAACTTACAGTGAAGGTTGATATAAAGCAGACGCCCACTTTTAGCAACCAGCCAACAGCAGCTTCCAAATGATCCACAGACAGACAGACAGACGGCAGCAGACTACGAACACAGACAGACGGCAGCAGACTACAAACACAGACAGCGTTTGTGTGCGTCTGCTCCAGCTGATGCACTCACTCACACGCCTCTATAAGAACGCCTATTGAATACCTATATACCTATCACTTTTACATGCACTGGTCTATTTTATACTTTACATTAAGAAAATAATGGTAAACGGTACGCACATTATTTCAACTGATCTCACGCCACTATATAAACGCCCACTTTAATATTACTGGCAGGGAAACCATAAACCTCTCCCATTTTTATGTATCTGATCTATTTAAAACTTTACATGAACAAAATAACGGTAAGCGATAGTTAATTAAGTAATCAACACTTTTCATTGACACTAGAACGTTAATTCTTAACTAAGGTCAATTTAAAATAAATTAATTAAATTTTTTGGACCCGACTATTGACAGAGTAACTTTACTCAATGTAATGCAAGTTATTTTGAGTTAATACAAGCAACGGGAATCTAACTTAACATAATCTAATTCTTAACTAAATTGACAATAAAATAAAAATTAAACACTTCTCATCTAATCCTTGCTAATCTAACCTAACTATCTAATAAAACTTATTTGGAGTTAATATAAGCAGCGCGATCAGAATTAACCTAACCTAACTTTTGCTCGCCATTTCAAACCTGTACAATACAAGTTTCAGAGGGTCAGGTTGCTACAGTCTATACAAGTGTTCCTCTTGCATGTCGTGACGTTGAATCTTAACAGCCATTCCTTTGATCACTCCTGAGGTGACAGGTATCTCTGTAGATCTTAACTTCACAGTCCGTTTATAACCTAGGGAGCATACGCTTGAGTCACAACGATATATTGTTAGGATTGCTCGGCTGGTGGTGATACTTGTGTTGTGTGCACATTATACATCATCAGCTTTCTTGCTAAAACGGAAAGATGTGTACCAGTCGGTTTCACAAACCTTTTCATGTATGCATTCAATCGAAATTTCAATGACATTGAAGCAAACAGTTACGCAAATGGTCATACCATGAAAACTTTCATTAATTTTTCCAAATTCATACATATTGCTTGAATTAACCGTGTTCTGTGTAGAAAGGAGACCATCGAGCCAGTGACTCGGTGTTACATTACAACTCGTTGGGGTCCATAGTTGTTTTCATATTTCTGGCAATTATATTATGAAATAGATGACTAAAACTGACATTGACTAGACTATCTTTGATAATTTTATGTTCCACAATAAATGAAATAACAAAAATATTGTAAACATGGCAACGAAATTTGAATTATGAAAAGTTGAAGTGTTACTATAAAACAGAAAACGGGATATATCTAACAAGAGGAAAGTTATTCTGAAATACAACATTTTGGCCTTTGAATTTTGAAAAGGATATCATAGTTTTCACGTGTAAAATTATTTATCGAGATTTAATTTACTCCATCTTCTATTTAAAAGGAATAGAGTATTTTAATTTCCCATTTTCGTTCATTCATTCACTTCAAATAGCGATGATAACATGGCGGTCAGTCGTTATCCCAAATTGTTACATTCTCTATTATTTTGACACGTTTATCAACAAAGAAGTTCATTAGTAAAAGCATTTGTGTTTAATTTGGTAAGTAGTGTTATTCACAGTTGTTATACCATGGAAGGTGTATCAGGCACTCACTGAAAACAGTAAATGAGAGGAACTGTATTTGGCGGGTAAAACGAGTCTTGAGAGCAGTGATGTCAGTTGTTGCAGGATTCAAGATTCAACCTGCTGTGCATGTAACGGGAGTGGGAGTAACACAAGTCGTTGGCTGGGTGTAATAACTGAGATTAAACACTACACTGGAGGGAGGACATAAGGAGGAAGATCCACCCCCAATAAGGAATAAGAACTGGGTCTCCGAGATAAGTTGTGTTGCGTTCATTGTATTACAAAAATTATTGCTTGCAACTGGACCCATTGGGCAGTATAGGGCATAGAATGGCACTGACCAGTAGTTTGGGCAGTCATAGAGCTCACCCAGACACTACCCTGGTCACTGTTCAAGCCCTTAAGTTCTGTAGCATCTGGGAGGTGTTGATGGCTGTGGGTCATGTTATGGTGTAGCTATTTTTGGCGGTCTGACTAATTACCCAAATGTAGCAAAATGAAGTCAAATAATGGTCCTACATGAATAAATCGGACTGCCAATCACTTCTCGACTAGTATTTGGTGTCACAAAGTCACAAAAAATTGGAAAACTTACTTTAATCTGAGTTAATAGATCGCGTGCATGTACCAAGGGAGCGAGTAATTACCCAAATGTAGCCGCAATGAAGTCAAATAATGGTCCTACATGAATAAATCGGGCTGTGAATCACTTCTCGATTATTATTTGTTGTCATAAAGTCTCAAAAAATTGGTAAACTTAATTTAATCTGAGTTGTGTTAGGTTAGGTTAGGTTAGGTTAGGTATGTGCACTCGATCTAGTAACTCAGATTAAATTAAGTTTACCAATTTTTTGTGACTTCGTGACACCAAATACTAGTCGAGGTTAGGTTAGGTTAGGTACATGCACTCGATCTAGTAACTCAGATTTAATTAAGTTTACCAATTTTTTGTGACTTCGTGACACCAAATACCAGTCGAGAAGTGATTGGCAGTCCGATTTATTCATGTAGGACCATTATTTGACTTCATTGCGGCTACATTTGGGTACATTTGTGTAATTAGTTGGACCCATTTTTGGTAAAAGTATCATTTCGGTCATGCTCTTACTTTCTGAAGGTCATAATCGTTTAAAACATCAAAAACCATCGGAAAACATAATTTCAACCTAACCTAACGTAAACTAACCTGACTTAACCTAAACCTAAATTCGCTGCTGACTGAAACGATAATATTCTATTATTTTACTCCTACAGGTTTTTAATGCACCTTGAAGCAGAATCTATTACCAGTATAAACGTGAAAATACCTGTGATGTAGTTTGATTCCATTCCAGGAACTGTAATTTATGCATTTTGAATTATACAGTAGTCCCTTTATTTTATTTTATATACAAATTGAATTACCAAACCCAAGCTAACCTTAATTATTTGGTAATACTCTGGTAATGTTTGTGTGGGTAAAACCAGCAACATTGAGTAATTTTCTATAAAGGAGTTTTTGTCTTGCCTCTAGACTCCCTGCAGAATGATGAAGAATTGAAGTTTTCTTATTTTTTACTGTTCTATAGTTCTTGATACTGAATTAATGACTGACTTCCATTGGCCACATAGAGCCAACACCATTTGTGACACGATCTGTTAAAATGCTTCACAGCGAACAACTGAATACCTTCCTAGTAACCTTTACATATGGTATCTTAACCAAACTTACCTCACTAACCTAAAATAAGATTGACCTTTATTTTTGGCAGAAATGAATAGTGGAGATATGACCCCCACCACCACCACCAATGGATGCACAAGGTGGGCAGGGCTTTGAAGTCTAGGGAAATTGTGGGGTAAAAACACGCTAATAGCCGAATCAACCAAACCCTACCTTACTGAACTGATGGAGGCGGCTGATCATGTTTATAGCACGTAAAGAAGTAAACAATAAATAGCGCAAAATTTACTCTAGCAAACTGGAGAACCGGAAAAGTTGTACGAATATTTGTAACTATAATTTGAAATATTGTACTGTACCTCCAAAACTATAAATCTTGGGCAAAAACACAAACTTAACCTTTGGTAATATTCTGGAACGGTATTAACCTGGAAGTTTTGGAAATTTTTCTGTTGATAAATGCCTTATTATGAAAATGCCATGGAATTATGAGGATTTGTAATTTGAGTTACAGTATCTAAATTTTGCCCATTTCATTTCATACCGCCTCTTACACATGATTAACTAGCAACCTATGAATGTTTTTGTATAGAAATAACTACAGTATCACAAATATCATATGACATCGATGCTTCCGTTGATTCGCTGAGTAAGAAGTTGACAATGTATATCCCTCCGAAATAGTACATTCCTAAGTAAAATCGAAAAATCAGATTAACTCGAAAACTATAAATTTCTGACGGAAACACTAAAGTATTCTTCTTTGTTTATTTTTCCTCCATCTCCTTATATAAAAATCAATATAGAGTTCCTTGCATGGTGATTAATAAGTATTAACCAATTTATCTTTTGTAAAAAAATACTGAACACTTAAAGTTCTTGGTTAACCTTTAATGCTGTTCCTGAATACTGCACTGTGCTAGTATTACCATGGTAGGATAAGCAGTCAGTGGAGATTTTTGTGTGACTAGAATGGTCGTTGTGTAAACAATGAAAATGTTGTTGCAACTAGGTGGATGTAGTTTAGTGTTCAGGATATAAAATGTAACCAAAATAATAGGAAAATTGCAATTCATTGTCATTGGGGGAATAGTCTGAAGTTGCGGGTTTAGCTGCACAAATATTCCTGCTTTTACAGTATATCCTTTAGTTTGAATTCAGTCCTTAAATATATGACATTGCAAAGGGATGTCTTCTGATTACCTCTTCCTTGGATAAATTATATACAGTAGTGTACAGTAGTATACAAAACTCGGTGTCATGCTCCCCATTGGATGGCCTACCACAATTCCTTATTTTTATCAATTTGTAAGATTTTTGAAATTGCTCACCTATCTCGGTGCAATATCTAGTTGGGGTTTAGTTTCAGTCCACATTTATAAGGTGGTCCTCAAGCCCATCTTGTTGGTAATGGACAATGATAGTGTTCAGTTCTAACTTTTTATTTTTGATTTATTGTTTTTCTCTTCACAGGTAGCAACAAGAGTTTATGCATCTGCCCCAGCCGCCAAAATGCCACAAATATCCTCATCACAGGACTTGGATGCACGCTTCTCAGTTTTTCTTAATCCAATTCGTGACCTGACAAAAAACTGGGAAGTGGACATTGCCAAGGTGAGAATGCATGTAATACCTCAGTATTACAGTAATTAAATTTTATTATTATTATTATTTATAATTTTACCATTGAGCAGCTTACTAGCTGTTTGGGTAATTTGCTTATCCAGTGTTAGTACTGGAGGAAATCAGAGTCCAGGAAACCTGTGATATTTTATAAGGTCACACAAGATAACACCCTTCTCGAACCCTTGATGGACTGGTGAGATATATGCGTGTTGCCATTATACCACCACCATTCTCTTTATGAAGTACACTATAGGGCTTGAATATAAATCAATTTGCAAGTGAAATGTTGGAGATGTGTGTTGGTAACCCTTAGTGGTGCTGTACTGTACTGTACTATCAGCTTGTCTTAGACAAGTGAGTCTGGGAATGCCTTTTGGTACACACACACTTTTGTCACCTAAACCTAATTTATCATTAAATATATATATATATTTTTTTTAATAAAATAATTGATCTATTTGATTTAAATTGGATTTATTTGATTTAAAGCATTTCTTTAATCAAATTTGTAAAATACCTCTCCCCTATCCCCATCATAATGAAGTTTCAGACAAAATCACCACCTTTCCAGGCACACAAGTTCACTGATGCTGTGACCAGGAGTGTATCAGCTATTGAATGGTGGAATTCAGATGAAAGTGTTTTGAGCAGTGATATACTGTCAGCAGTAGCCTCATCTTAGGTGATGAATGAGTTTTCTCCTCTTATGGACTTTTTCATTTGAAACTAAGGAACTGCCTTGGTACAGAAAAAAACAGCAAAACTTGCATTTCTTTTTAAGTATTTGAATGCACACATCAGTCATGGTTACAAAGATGGTTGATTAAATCAGAACTTGGTGTTTGCAATGTGTGATGTAGCAAAGATTGAGAGACGGTAGTATTAGATTTTTGTGAATATTAAATGTCATTTTGTATACAAAAGTGTTGTGATTTAGTTGGTTTTGCTTTGTTTTATCTACAACTCTGAAGTAAGCCTAAATAAGTTATCAGTGCCTTTAATACTTAATTATAACCCTACATGTTTGAAGTAGAGGTATAGTACAATAATACATGTAAGGTAAGCAAAGTGATCTTACCTACTTATCTTAAACTTGTGTTTGTTGTTTCAGTTACAAAATGGATATTGTAATTTCTTGTGTTAAATTATGTAGGCTACTGTGATAATGGCATAAAATACTTTGTTTCTTTGGCTGATTAGTTTATAACAATACAGCATAATAGCAGTGATTTAAATAAATTACTGAGTGTTAAAAAAATATTTTGATTTAAATCAAACAACCCTTATTCTTATGAGGAAAATAAACCAGATTTTCACAAATTTGTTATTCGTAATGACTTTTAGGAATGCATCCTTTGAAATATTTCCATTGTTAATAATACTGTGATGAACCCAGTGAGGATTTCAACATTTGGTATAGAAACTTGTATTTTTAGTGCAAGTCACACCTGATAATTCTTTCGCATTTTAGTCTTCTATTGCGAGAGGTTGAGATTTTTTACCATGGCCAAGAGTACTAGAGGGTTATTTGGTACTCATAATGACCTGACCTCATTTGGTAGTTCTTCTGTTTTAGAAGCTTCATCCATTGGTTTTAATGATTTCCTTGATCTGTGAAAATATTGCTGAAGATTTAATTTTCTTTTTCTCTTGACATTTTCAGTATTTGGAGGAGTATTTAGAGGAGCTAGCTGAAGTACAAATTACATTTGATGGAGGGGAAACACTCATGAATTTTGCTGAGGCAGCCATGTTGATTCAAGGCTCAGCTACAGTGTACAGCAAGAAGGTAAGTCTCTCTCTCTCTCAGTATTTAACAGTAAACTTTTGTTGTGAGGAAGTTTGCAGAGTGTGGGACCTTGGGAGCAGCATTGCATTCGACTGAACATTTTATTCTATTGGAAAAAAAATTCAGTAATATCTCTGTCAGCTGGAATCCCTCAAACTCGGAACTCTCCGATAGCTGGAATTGAAATTTTCTCTGAAAAGTGTTCCCACAGCCATAATTTCCTGGAAAATTCCAGCTTCGGGGACGATTTTCCAAGGGGCACGTTTTCCGGAGAATTCCGAGAAAATTTTCCCGATACAGTCAGTTCTGCTATAACGCGATAGTTGTGTTCTTGTAAAACATCGTGTTATAGAAATTCGCGTAATAGAAATAACAGGGCTTATGGAGAAAATAGGGTTAGGTGCAGATTACTACTCGAAATCGAAAAAAATTTAGTAGTTAGCCGAACACAAAGGATAGCACAGTCTAAATAAATGTTACATTCATATCTAATAATTGAAAAAATATGAATATAACTTGATGGGGGAGAAGGGTGATTTTGAGGTTGATAACATCGAGCTTCTCTTCAAGGGTTATAGCCTTTCTTTTACGATGATCACCGGGAATGCGATCACCAGAACGCTTCTTGGAGATATTCTTCTTTACCATATTCACAGTTAATACCACAAAATTTGAGAAATAGTAAGCAAAAATCGCGTTCCAGCAAACAAGCGTTCGCGTTATACAAATATCGTTCCTCTATTCATAAATCGCGTTAGAGCCAATTCGCGTTGTCAAAACACACGTTATAGCAGAACTCACTGTACCCGAAAAATTTCGAGGATGGGGGAGTTTTTTTCCGGCTTTGAGAGATTTAAATCCGGAGCATTTTCTGGAAATTCAGAGAAAATTTTTGTTGCCCAGAAAATTTCGGGGATGAGGGATATTTTCCAGGTTCGAGAGATGATGTAATGGGAAATTTCTGGAACTTCCGAGAAAACTTTTACATTACCTGGAAAATTTCGGGGATGAGGGATTTCTTCCGGCTTTGAGAGAGTTGTCTTGTTTGCCGGAAATCTCTCATTCCCGGAAGTGCTTTGCACTCTTCTGGCTAACGGGTATATCACTGTACAGGTAGTCCCCGACTTACAACTGCTTGGACTTACGTCCATCGGTACTTACGACCTGCTCTGACCTTACGACCGCCGCAGTTGTGACCATTTTTATTTTTTTTTCCCCTCTCCAACTGACACGCGCATTTATTTTCTATACCGAAACATTTCCAGTTCATGTAGTCTCCATGTATAATTAGAAAATTATAGGGGGCCCCGTTTGCATTCAGCTGACTACATTAAAGGTAAGTGCTCAGTCACACTGTATCCATTCCTCATTATTTATTACTTTTACTGTACTGTATTTCATTGTAGATTTTTTATTTTTTATTTATTTACTTTTTTTGAAATTTTTTTTTTTTTTTTAAATTTTTTTTCATCTATGCCGGACTTACGACCATTCGGACTTACAACCTGGATTTGGGTCCCTAACCCCGTTGTAAGTCGGGGAGCACCTATATTTGAAATTTCCATTAGGTCTCTACTATGTAGGAGTGTGAATAACTTATACCTACCCTACTAGCCACTTTACTGGCCTTACCACTGATCATCTCTGCTTGGTAGACAGATAACTAACATGCATTCAAATTCTTCAATTATTTTGTTTTATTATTATTATTGTTATTATTATTATTATTTCTTCATTGCTTTTCTTCCTCCAAACATCTGCCACTCAACAGACAACCGGACAAACTTGTTTAGTCCTGACTTCATGTTATTCTGTGCCTCCACAAACACACCCTTAGACTTGGTGTGCAATAGAGAAATGTTTGGGCTGTTGTGTGGTGTAGTACTGTACTGTATTGAACACCTTGAGGGAGACATGCTCTTAATCAAAATTATGGTTAAGATTAGAGGCTTGCACTATATCATTTGGTTTCAAGAGGATCATTATCTGGCAGGGAATTCCTGTAAATATTATTGTATACCATTACTGTATAACTACTGTGCCAATACTGTACTGTGTGTATATATATATATATAAATAATATATATATATATATATATATATATATATATATATATATATATATATATATATATATATATATATATATATATATATATATATATATATATATATATATATATTATTTATGGCAAACTTGATTAAATCTGGCATAAAATACACTGTATACATGGTATTCTATTTTCAGGTGGAGTTTTTGTGGCAGATGGTTTTGCAGATGCTTGATCTGCTCTCCAGTAGACGGAATTTAGAATCTGGAGTAGGAGATGTGGGCGGCAAAGACATTGGAGGAGGAAGAGCTGTTCTTGATCATTCGGTAGATTTTACTACTGTTGATAAAATGGGAAGAGGGAAGAACATTGATTTACGGGACGATGAGGAAGAGGAGGAAATGGACGACTGTAGAAAGAGAAGCTTCAAGTAAGTAAATTAATCTGAACAGGCTTCATATGTTAATGTGCTGCAAGCCTCGTGGATATGGTAAACAAACATGGAGTCGAGTAGGAGGTGGTTGGAGGTCTGTTATGTCATTTTTTGTTTTCTGTCTTCACACGGGTTATAGAGCCTTGAAAAAAGACTAGATTGTGAACACTAATGATGCTTGTACAGTATAGTACTCGAATATCACAAGTGCTGCAGAGTATCCAGTGGGTAATTTGTACTGGTTCGTATAGGTCAAATTTAAACTCTTCTTACACTTAAGCTTATTGTCCCTTGTTGTGGTAGAGGAAATTGATGGAAAACATGGAAATATAGTGTTAGTTCATGTGTGTTTCCAGCTATGTTGTAACCTAACCTGACTTAACATTGAACAAGTTTAAACAGATTTCGATGAAATGTTGAATGTGTATATAAACCATCCAGGTCTTACGTGAGTTAAGTAGTTTCTTCATATATTTCCTGTCTTAGGCCTGTTTTGTCTCTTTTTAGTGACAAGGTTACTTTGAACCTTTGGTGCTGGTACCTTTGTGTGTTGGTGCAGAGAAATACCATTCATATTATCTTGTGTTCAAAATGATTGTGATTCTATTTTTGTCATTTTTAGGGGTGTGTGAATATAGGAAATTGGCTACTACAGTTGTCTATCAGTATTGCGGCTTCTAGGTACAGTACTGATACAGCTTAGATGACTCGCCAGTTATTATAGGTGTTGGTGAATATTCTGCTATTGAATTGGTTGCCAGCAAAATTGGAAGTTTCTTCTGACTTTTGGTTAGGTTTTGTGTGTTCCTTGGGCAAATTATTCATATATCTAAGATTAGGAAAGTGATTTACACAACTTTACTTTATATGTAAACATATCTGTACAGTAGTCATTTTATCACTTGATAGTTGCTATTTTTCACTGATTTACACTTCAGAGCCATGACCCCAAACATCTTTAAATCCTCTTTAGGTCTTCTAAAATATTGGTCAAAACCCTTTAATATGTAATACTGTACTAATTAGCACAATATACATTCACTCTGAAGATACTGTACTCATACAACTGTGCAGCTGTTTGAGATGACTCATCACTTTGTTTTCACAGACAGTGTAAGTACAGTAGCTATGTATGTACTGTAAGCCAAAGGTCTAGGATGCAGGAAACCTCGACATCAGTGGCTGGGATTAATCTAAGTGAATACTAAGCCTCTCCTAAAGCAACCATGCCCCAAAATGAGTATATTGAGGCCATGTGCAGCCTTGTCCTCTTATTCTTTTTGGCTCCAGTCAAGGAACTTGATGAGGCAATGTTAATGTTTTTGTCAGTCATAATGAAAAGAATGATCCAAATTTTAAAGGTGTCCAAAGACACTGGTTGAGGCAGCATTTACCGTGGTTGGCACCAGTTAGATCAAAACAAAGACAGCTCACAAGCTTTCATGTTCTGGAAAAAAGGTGAACTTTTTGGCGCTGAACTTTTCTTGAATGAAGTAATTAACTGGACTCGGGGTAATAGGTGACTGAATGCTATATGTCATTGACTGTTTGTTGGATAATGAAAATAATCATCAGGTTTTCATCAGACAGGACACAGCATGATATGTGATATATGCCTTGGCTGTCTTGGGGGATCAAAGGGTTGTTGCCAAGCAGTACTCTCATGACTTATTCATCTTGTGTTGCCATTTTACTCCACTTAGTATAACAATAAAATTTAATAAAAAGTACAATTACTCTGAGCTTCATGTTGGTCACAAAGGTCAGCTTGGCATCTGGTTCTTCCCAGTCCATTGTTCCCATTCTAAATTAGAAAATGCTACTAGACTGCAGACATTTGCATGGGAAGGATGAATTGTACATCCAAAGTGATTAACAAATCAACTCTGACATTTTTGGAGTTGTCCAAATACTTATACCTTCCAGTAAGCTGGCTGATTTTTTAGCTTTGCTAGAAAACAGGATTTCAGATGAATCCCACATCTTAAAAATAAAAAATGTATATACTGTACCTGTATACTGTATATATTTCAGCTTACCAACTGACTGTACATAATATGATTTTATTGAATTCTAAAGTTAATACAAATACAAATCTCTTACCATCCATAGTAGCCAACTGCCTTACTTTACACTGGCCTAAAAGAAAGTTCTGGGGAGTTATGGAAACCGTAAATCATGTTTGTGATTAGCTGATTATAATATTAACCTCTGAGAATATATTTGTAAACTTTTTGATACATGCCTGGCCCACAGAAGCAGACATCTGGATAATGGAATGGTCACCTCCTCAGATGGGGCCTCGATAATCCAACTCAAGTGTGCCTACTTATACCGCCTAAAGAGAAGGTATCAGTGTGAGTCAGCAGGCGTGAGAGGTGACTGCCTGCAGTGTTAGCCAGACCAGTCTTTGACCTAAAACTATAAGGCTGATGAATTCACTGTAATGGGGTCTATCCGGTGGTTATTGAGGGCAAGAGAAAATTTTAGTGTGTTCTGGATTGTATCTAGCTACACATTTGTTGACATTTTAGTTAATAGAAGAGATGAAAATTTATGTTAATTTTTGGTTATTTAGAAAATGAGTTGAAATTGAGTTTTTTTTCCAGTTGATTGGTTCAATTTCTGGCTACCATTGCATTGATTATGCTTGCTGGGTACTGTACTAATGCTTTCCATATACCAGAGCATGTATTAATAATGTTCTGTCTCCTAGGCTTTGGAGTTAAGTATGTGACATTAAAACCCTCTATTGATATTATTAATGCAATGGAGAGAGATCCATAGACAATGTTACTGAATTTCCATATTATTTTTATGAATATAATACATTTCACCAAAAGGTTCATAGGATTATAAATGTGAAAACAGAATTTATAGTTCCTAAATCAGCCTTATGTATTGTATTCATTGTTTATCTGTTGGATGGCCATTGCAAAAGACTTGTTTCTGTGCTACCCCTACCTAATGACTTGCTATTATAAACTAAACTGTACTTCAACCAGTGAAAGAAATTGGTATGTGATGTACAGCACCATTTCCAGTTGTACTGTACCTAAGGTGAATCATCCCAAATCTTCATACTCCTCAGTTAGTGTGTCATTCATTCTTCTCTTCTCAGTGATGCCTTTTGGGACACCTGCACTTTTTATCCCCCTTTTTCCTACCTTGTGTTTTTGTGTCTCCCCCACCATACCTGTCTCCTCTTGCCACTTTTGAATACTATATACTGTAGTTCTTCCTCATGCCAAACTGTCATCTAATTTATAAATCTCTTTTCACAGTTACGGTATGTAGAGGATCATAGACTTTATTTATTGATTTATTTATTTTGGGGTGGGGGGGGGCAGTTCTTTTATATGACTTATGAAGTCTTAACTCAGACATGAAAAAATTTTTGAAGTTAATTTCAACATTATGCACCGTTCTGTCATGAATTAATTAATACTATGTTGAAAGAAAAAGAGACATTAAACATTGTTCTAGATTCAGAGGACCTGATGTTAGTTGCTGGGACTCATCTAATGGATTAGTGTACAGTACCTCCCTTTGTCACCTTTGTATAAGTGAATTATTATTTTTGTAAACAGACTCATGGGTGGACGACGTGCAGTGATGGTGGTACTGATGGTAATTTTGACGTAGGGTGATTCTTTGTGTATTTGTTGTGGAGTTTAATTTGAATGAAGTTTGGATTATTTAATTTTTTTTTCCATGGCATTATACAGTGGTCCCTCGGTTAACGAGTGCCTCGGTTAACGAGATTTTGGTTAACGAGTTACCTTCCATAAGATTCTTAACTTCGGTTAACGAGCAATCCCTCGATTAACGAGTTTCTTACGAGCCGACCTGAACATGTTTAAGCTTGCATTTGGCGGTCCACCAGCTGTAGTATTAGCTCGCCAGTACAGTAATCGGTTCTAGGGCTTAAATTCCTTACCATTTTAGTAAATATCAAGAAGATTATACTTTTCAATAATTTTAAAAGTTTAATATTCATTTTTTTAGTCATTTTAACAATTATTGAACATAATTGAAGGTAAGATCACTAGTTTCATGTGCGCCATCCAGCCTGGCAACACACCATACAGGCGTCAGTCTTTGTGTCTTTTCAGTGGAGGTAACATCTTGCTTGAGTCTCTCTTCAACTAAACGCTTTTTTTCTGTGTTTGCAAGCACGTTATTGGTCATTTTGAAGTTTATTATACATATTGACAATATATAATGCAGTGCAGTGTTGATTTAAAGAAAATGATCTTGAATTACACCAAGAGAACTAAAATTTTATGGGTGAAATGGCGCCATGGGGTGACTTCTCTTCCACCCCAATGCCTTCTCTTCTCCCTTCTCCACCCCCATTCTAATTCCCATCATCATCATGATCCAGGAGCCTTCTACATACACACCTCAGAATAAGTGGACTTTTCTACCTTTTTTGTTGAATTTAGGCAATTTTCGGTGAGCTGGAACCAATTACCCAAAAACCCATTGAAACAATGGTTTCGGTTAACGAGTTTTTCGGTTAACGAGCAACCTTCTAGTACGGATTGTGCTCGTTAATCAAGGGACCACTGTATATACATTAGTTCTTAAAAAAAATATTTAACTTTGTAATTTTTGCCCGTATAACGAACTTGAGTACTGAATAAAAATTTCCATTAGTGTGAAATTCTGTATAAAGGGGTTCCATATATCGAGGACTTTGTGTAAATGTGATTTCTAGAAAGTCGATCTTGATTTTTTTTCGCTTAATTATAGTTACTTCACTACTGCATATTTTTGTGTCTACAGTAATTGAGGTTATGTATTGGTGGGAAGTGGTTTTGGGGAGGTACAGTTGTATTTTGATACAGGTTGCTGTAGTACAGGTACCTTATATAAATTTATCTATTGTATCATAATCATCAGATAAACCGCATGTGCACATGCTTACAGTACATGTGTGAAATGCTGCTTCTCATTGAAGTTTTGTTTCCGACAGAAAATTGACAATAAATGGAACCTAGCATCTCAGGCACATTGCATCAATGAGCATTTTGTGTATGCTGTACTTAATTCAGAATACAATCAGACCTCTTGTAATGTATGAGATACATTCTTGAGGGTGTCTGTTAAGTGATTGATCTGTTAAAAGAGGTCATTATAACAAAGTGCCTGGAGAGATACAGTACCTCACTGACAGTATCATTTCTTATACTAGAAATGCTACAGGATGGCTTCCTTGGGTAATGACTCTGCAGATGTTAACTTTGTTGACCCTTGCCGTGTTGTTTACCTCTGCTGCCTCACTCCTTCTGTACACCCACTCATCATCCTTTTAAATGATTTTCCTGATCACTTTGGCTGCTTTACCAACATCTTGCTTACAGCCTATTTTCAAGCATGATGGGCCTCAATGAACTTTCACTTGACACACAGGAGATTGTGAAAAAGAAGAAGAGAACTAGAGAGAGAACTGTCCTGAAATTTGGCTGGCTGTACATCTTGAAAAATCTCTCATCAATAAATTTTTATTGAAACATTTTCCCATAGGCTTCACTTATAAAAAGCGGAGATGCATTTCTATTAAAAAGTATACTGTACAGTATATGTAACATTATTAATAATCTTAAAATGTCACAAAATGCTACAAAACATGTTTTTAATGAAAAATTCTGGTATAGACAATGATTATAAGCCAATGTTAAAGTTAATAAGGGAACTACATGCAGTACAGGAGAGTAATAATTTTATACAGTACTTGTATTTATGAGAAATGCTAAGCAGCATCTACAATAAAATGGGTTTGTTAATATATATTGAAAATAGCCTAACTAAGGCAGATAATAAATTATTGAAATATGAATTGTGGATATTTGACTGCCTACAAGAATGATTATTATTATATTAAAAATCTAATTACAATACATTATGAACACGATCACCTCAACAGAAGCACAATATACAACATGATGCACTCACCGGCAGGGAGTGTGGTGTGAATGACAATACTGTACACTTATCACATACCACTCACCGAGTTCTTCCAGGCTAAGATTACAGTACAGTCAGTCGTTGACTTACGATGGGGTTAGGGACCGATGACCAGGTCGTGAGTCGAATTGGTCGTAAGTCAAAAATGTGAAAATAATACATAGAAAATCTAAAATGGGTGTCTCTTTTTTCTTCTCAGCACCACGAGAACTCTCACTTTTACGCTTGCCAACCATTTTAAAGGGAATTACAAACAAAAATTTTGTCAGTACACCGGGCGATCACTAATGTCGGGACTCAAAGATACGTAATTTGAAAAAAAATTATACGACTGCGGCGGTCGTATGTCCGGGTGGTCGTAAGTCGAGTAGGTCGTAAGCCCACTCCTGTCAAATATTACGACCTGTGGTGTAATGGTCAGCATCTTCACCTCGCAAGCATTTCATGCAATAGTTATACTCCTGCAATATGTAATGAAAATGAATCTATTTTTTTTACAGGAAACATGAAATTTTTGCATGTTTTTGCATAATTCTTTGCCTAATTTTTCCTACTTACATTGGAGGCTACCTGTGAACAGTATGAGGTGACATGAAGGGCAAAGAATGTACAGGGTAGTTGTATTTATACTGCTTAGGCATGATTAATTTGTGGAAAGTATAGGATTTACTGTATGCATAACTGAATTTTTTTATCCTAAATACAACCTTAGTAATTTTAGTTGGTTCCAGTTATAGAGAGCTGATAGATAGGTCACATCAGTGCTCCTTACTGGTAACATCTTGTATAAAGAGAAACCAGCTAATTTTGTGCTTCAAGAAGTTGTTGACCAAAGTATCCTTTGACCTTTAATCTTAGTGGGCGGCAAATTTATAGACGTGAAATTAGCTTTTTTAAACACCGTCAAATAAGCAGCACATTAAAAAAATTTCGGACTGGGAACATAAATTGCAACTGGTATTACTTAGCTATAGTAGTATATCGCAGCAGTGGCACTGGAACAGGAAACTAGCTGCTCTTGGAGCTCAGATTGCTGTGTGGCATCCCAAATTGTTGCCCATAACCAATTTTAATATTTTGCTCTTTTTCAGGTTTTTACCAGCAACTCCGCTACATTTAGTGGAGAAAGATGGGGAAAAGTCTCTGCATCGTGTTTCGCTGATGATGAAAAACAGTGAGGTGTTTGGGGCAAAAGATGACTTCAGAATTAATAGGTCATATCTGACACCCAAGGGCATGTTGTGCATGGAGGTCCCAAGTGACATCTTACGTAATGCAGCCTTGAGGATTTTGGATTCCCCAGTTCCTGAAGTGAGTTATATGTACAGTGTAGTCATCCACAAAAGTCCTGTCACCTCTTCTCTTGAATCACAAACCCTGAGATTCAGACTCATGAAACCGAAGCATTTATGGGTAGAATAATGCATCAGTGTCTACTTCTTTGGCTTCATGAGTCTGAATCTCGTGGTTCATGGAACAACAGTAGAGGCGACGGGTTCTGTGGGTGATTGCACCTGTATATGTTTTTCTTTAATTTATTTGATCTTTTTATTAGTTATCCGATTTAATAACGTACAGAACTTTAAACTCTTATTTTAATTTTAATTCCTGCTTGCTTGAGATGTCTGATTATAAACAAAAGGCTGTTACTGTAGATAAAAAGGACATGACTGACATGGAGTTTGGTACTGTATTGTACTCACTGCTGTCTTTATAGTTAATCATATCTTGGTAGGCATTCATAATAAATTGTAAAAATTCAGCCAGTAAATATTCTGCACTGTATTTTAAACATGTCAAAATTTTTAAATATTGATCCTTGGTGAAACATTTTTTTGAAGTACAAATCCACGAACTCACAGTAAGGAATACTGTACCACAGACCAGCGTAGATGGTGAGTGTTTAAATGAACTGTGAGTGGCGGGACCTTCAAAATAGCACATGGTCTGCTGTCCTTTAACACTAAATTAATTTTCTTTTATCATTATTTATTAGTTTTTAAATGTGCTGGTTTTTTAGACTTCCAGGTAACGGATATCCACATTTCTGAGGCTTTACTTATAAAAGAAAGAAATTTATTTTAAATATTTCAGGAAAATGTGTCCCTGTATTTGGAATGTGATGAACGGAATAAAGCATGCAACCCGATTCCACTAAAGGGAGGATTCTGCTAAATAAATTACAGTTACTGTACCGTATACCTCTGACGATGAAGTGGATATGTTCGTGAATTCCACTTCGTCCTCGGAAACTTCGTTGTCAGAGTTAGATTGAAATGGGAATAGGTTCCAGTGCTTCTTAGTGTATGCCATGATATCACATTGGGCCCCAGGGGAGGGAGTGCGGTGCTGGCTGTCCTGGTGACATAGTTACAGCAGCACCCCCCTCTTCCCCTCCCCACACAAACACATGCACACACACTCATGCTCTTTATTTTTCTAATTTTATAATTTTATATTATATTTTCTTTATTTCTAAGTCACATTAGAGTACTGAAATGGTTTTCCACAACTATAGTTTCATTGCATGTAACAATGGCAGCGTGCATAGCCATCTCACAGCTGACTGGTGAGTGTTATGGGGAGTTTTTTAATTACTTATAATGGTTACTTTACATGATATTAAATGCTCTTCACACTATTCATACATCATTCTTAGGTATTGAGTGGTTAGGCAGTAAGTACACTGTGAGAAACCACTTGTAAAAATACTGAGAGAGTGAGAACGAGTTGCCAACCACCTGACAACCATTGGATCTGGCAAAAAAGTCCTCTAAGACCACAAACCTAACATTAACATTCCCAACCATCCAAATAATACACATATTATGGGTTTCCACATGCAGTATACCGTATATACAGTACGTACAGTATATTAGCAAACTAACTAGTAAGATACCCTGCAGTTAATAAAACTTTTTGGTTTCTGTAAAATTGGGAGGTGCTCTCTCTTACCCTTCTCTTCACTGGATTTGTCACTCACTTTAGGCATGGTGACAAAGATAATCATGCACACTTGCTGGGAGAATATGAAAAAAAAACTGGGAGACCACAGCAATGTGGCCAGGCTTTGAGGGGAAACTGACTGATTGCTGTAAAACAGTGATGAAGGCCCGTGAGGGGCATTACCGGAAACTCCCTTCATGTAGCTAGATGGAAAAGCAAATACCGGCACAAATTCTTTCTGCTAAAAGAAATTCCATTATTAAGGAATGTATTGTGTTAATTTTTTAAGTTAAACACATACTCCAGTTTGATTGCATCATTGAAAGATGAAAAAAATATTTGTTTTTTATTAGTTTATATATAATAGTACAGCTAACAGTATTTAAATAATGTGTGGTGGTAATTTTCATTGCAGAATACAGATGGGGAGAATGCAGAAACTGGTGGTAAAGAAACTGCACCAGTAACTGAAGCCCCTCCACAACAAGATGTTCCACCTGATGCTGAAGAAGGTGAGGCTTTTATTTTTTATCTCCTCTTCCTCCAGTTTAGATTTGGAATATGAAAGATGATGCACTTTACACCTTCCCTTTCCATTCTCAAAATCTAACTTGCTTTGTGAATGGGATCTATGTTAGTGGTAGCTACTTCAGAAGCCTTGGCTATGTTCTTGAGTCCACCATTCTCATGATTTGTTACTATTATTATTATTATTGCAGATATTAATAATGATGATGGTGCAGCTGATCTCCCAGATGACTTGGACACTCCTGAAGACGTTCAGCAGCCCATGAATGAGGGGAAGGATTGTGAAAAGAAAGATGACCCCAAGAATAATAATAATAATCTGAATGTCATTGACCTTCCCACTGATCGGTAAATGCATAAGTATTTAATTTATTGAGTTTCATGCAGTAGAAGAAATGCAGCTATAATGATATTAGTTGTTGAACCTATACAGTACATGTACTTTGAATATGTTCAGGCTGCAAGGGAATTATTATTTAAGATGGGGGTGGAGGTTGATACTCAGGCCATACTTGATAGGGGAGAGTGGGTGGCTCAGGTCGTCATTATCTTCTTTTTTTTCTATATATACTTATCTATTATTTTAAATCAGAGGAAAATGATACAGTACACTATTAAGATTCAGAAGATATCAATGCTCTTAATATGAAGTTATCATCATAACAAAAATGGTGAGATTGATATGGTCTAGCACTTGGCTAAGGTTATTACAAGATTATGGTATTCAGCTTTGACAATAAAACTTTTTCAACAAAATCTAAGAAATTATTGGAATTAGTTTTCTATTACATTTTTAAACGGTATTATGCATGATCTTAGAGCATTTCATTGGTTTAATAATGGTTTGGGATATCATTTGTTAATGTAAAAATGAAGTAAGCAAATAGTAATATTCCTTAAGCGGGAGTAGCTTGCAAGGTCATCTGTTTTGTACGTTTTGCCAATGGTGGAAGAAAGAATCCAATATGTTTTGCATATAAGATAATCTTAAAATATTTTTCAGTTGGTGTTAAAAAAAATATGACACAAAGATGGTAATGAACAGTGTACTACTGTACTGCATATTACAGACAGTTTAAGATATCAATCTTGTCAACATTGAATACTGTGACCTGTCAGAATTTGATGAAGATTTTGATATTTGTGGATAACATTAATTAGTGTAACGACTGTGTTGTACATTGTAACAGGGTATTGGTATATCCCAGTGTGGTTAACCCTGAGAGATATGCATCATTGCTCTTATAGTATAGTTAATGTTGTTTTTGTTTCAGACTGTATTTTACTAATTAGTGAAAAGTATTGGTGGGATTATAAAAATTCAGTTCAGCTCTTATTATGACTGCTACAATAATCATGTTATTGTAGGGTCATGGTGTGTTCTAACTGTTTCTCTGTTGATCATGTGACTCAAAATTTTAAAGCATTGAGAAAAAAATCTGGAACCCGTATTTTCAATACAGTAAAAAAACCAAAGCATGGCACCTATGGAGCTAAGGCTTTGCCGACTTATAGGTAATAAGCTTCTGTACAGTATATAATAAAATAAAAACAGAGTTGTATTGAGTATTTACCAACAGCAAGGGCAATTTAATGATGAGCTTTTAAGAGGCAAATGAACAGTACTGTACTGTGTGTGACACCACAGGCGCTGCACAGTACAGTAAATTCTGATGAATTTAACACTATTATATGTAGTTATATACTGAGTACTGTACTAAAAAACGTAATGGTTATCAGATGTTGTGCTGAGTTATGGGGCCGTTATTATAAATGAGAAGTTTTCAGTAGCTTGGGATTTATTTTTTATTTTTATAACTATTATTATTATTTTTTTTAACTGATCTGTCCAAAAATCAGCTTAATTGTTCTCAAAAATGCCAAGATCCAAAAGTTTCTGGTAAGCTTTATCTCTTGACATATGTGATTTTGTGAATCCCCAGCTTAACTCATAGATTTCCATGGCAAATCTCTTTTGAAGTATCTTATTGATACCTGAGGATATTAATATAAACTTACTCTTATTGTGGGAAATGGTGTGGAGGGGAAGAGGAAATTGTTATACATTTATATATATGTACAGAATTGGTCTCTCATTTCAACTGATGTGACATTGAATGTTTTCAAAACATGTATAGCCTTAGAAAACGAGGAGGGCCGGTGACTGAAGCTGTTACTACACTTACGTTGACTGATAAGTGGAACCCAATCAACCCCCATGCTGAAACTCCTGCTAAGAGACCAATAAGAGCTGGAAGACTACGTAAACCTCTACCATGTGCCTGTCACCTTCACACACAAGTAGGAGCCTTTATCTTTGAACTAGTTTAAATATGAAGTATATAAGTTCTTGCAGATCTCATATGATTAGGTGTGGAATGCCTGCCATTAATTCAGGTCTCCATTTATCATGTGTTTAAGGAGCACTAAGATGCATCTTTCTTTCATAGTGCAGAGTGGTCCAACAATATCCCAGTATCCCCCCCCCTCCTCCTGTCTCACCCACTCACCTAATATACATGCATTTTCCTTTTACGGTGCAGGGTGGCCTGACAGGTACTGATCTGATTTATTAACATTTACCAGCTAGTGGGTTAACTCATTCTCTTGGCAGAATGGCAGTCCACGTAAGGTACACACGATAGTTACCCATCCATTGCTCAGTGCACAAGAGCAAGTGTGGAAGGGAACCCAGTCATCCACTTTGGCTGAGAATCGAACCTATTAAATTATATTTGACCAAGTGACTTTGTACTCTTGACCATAAACATTATAATTTAAGCTGTCACCCATGGGACACTCATTTGATCATCTCATTAGTTAAGTTCTTGGAATTTTCAGTGAATAAGCTTAAAGAATATTAAACAAAGTTAAACACTCACACATGAAAATAGATACAGTAACAGAAACAGTCTCACTTCAAAGTCAATTTAGTAAACAAGTGTATATAGATAGGTGAAGCATTCTTTAATAGAAATCTTGAATCACCATCCCTCCTTTCCCCCAACAACATACTGTTTGGAAATGAGTATAAAGTTGTTTTTGTAGAGTTTGGTGCACCTGTTCCTCCTCATGTAGTGGTTATTTGAGTGGTAAATATTTAGCTACATAAGATCTGGTCAATACATGAACAGGATGTTAATTGTGTTGTAATATTTGTTTGTATGTTAAAATTTGTGTTTCTTTGGCAGTCTGTGTCTCACAGAAAGAGTGCCAAAAATGGTAAGAAAGAAAAGAACAAGAAAAACGCCCAAATACTTACGTCCATAGAGTCTCACATCACTAAAGAGATAACTGGAATAATCGGTTCATCCACTAAGAATTGTAAGGTAAGTCAATTTTCAGTTAGGTGTTGGATTATTTTTTAGAACACTGAAACATGCCTAGAGTAGAAAAGCTAATAAACATGTCACACTTACATTTCTAGTTTGACCTCCTTCATCAGGTTGCTCTCATGACTGTGCTTGCCAGTTTTGGGAACTTGGCCATCACATCCTTAAAAAGAGGCTGTGTCCTAAGTCTTCATTCCCTTTAATTTCCAATGCTTCTTTTACCTTCTTATTCTTCCCTTCTCTCTCTTACAACCTGCCTTTTGAATTATATGCTTATCTTACCAAGACATCAGTTTCCATTCTCTCAGTTAGTCCACAGTACCTCGACAAACCCTGGTTAGCTCTATCCATTACTTCTTTCATTTCCTTTCCTCTGTTTTAATTTCTGTGTACTGTATCTTAATTCTTTATCCTGTTCAGCCCATTTATTGATCTCAAGCCCATTGTTTCTCTCACTTCTAAGTTGATAATATGCCCCTCATCCAAAGACTGTGATTCATATCCACCTTGTAATTTTGGATCAAGGGTTCATTATACTATACCCAAAATTTTGCTTCCTTTGGTACATTCCTCTCTCGACACATCTCAATGCACCTATTACTTTCTTTCCCAATATTACTCTGTAACTCAGTTTGTCCTTCATTCTTCTCATCACTGACACATTTGTTTCTTGATTCAGTGTATGAAATGCCCCAGGTCCTCGTATTTATCTCAATTTAAACTTATTAAGTATTTTTCTATTATTTCTCTATTTTCAATGCTTTCATTTATTTACGAATATCACATTTACTATAACTCATAATGCATATTTTTCCATATAGAGTATAGTATACAGTACAGTATCTGTAAAGGGATTCTATTTATTTTGTTTAACAGGCGTCTCAAGAACTTATAGAGGAAGTCAATAATGAGGTTGCGAACAGACTCGAACTTGGCAAATGTAAGCGGGTTAACAACTTGCTAAGAGAGGGAAAAGCTTTCAACGTAGAGGAAGCTCTGCAGAAGGTATTGGAAGACACTGAACTTCAGCAAAGAATGGAAGAACAGCTTGACGACCCCCTTGGTAGTGATGGAGCTGCAGATTTAGGTGAGTTGGACACAGTTGACAAGTACAGTACAGACAGCTGTATAAGATTGATAATTTGCAAAACACAGCAAAGTTTTAATGAAAACACAATTGTTTACTTTTCAGTACTTATAGCTTCAAAATACAGTGGGGTATGCTATAACGAACGAATCCTACTTTGAATATTCCTATAACGAACGGTTTTACCTATAAAATTGAGAATGCTATAACGAACGCAACTACAACGAACGCGGATGAATACGGGACTATTTCGTCTGGCGCATGAATATTGTTGTACCGCGGCTCACAACAAGAGCGTCAGGCGCCATCTTTGTCTCATTGTGTAGCCAGTGCACTGCTGTTATTGTTGAAATTTCGTCTTTTGATGTGGAAATTCGTGTTATTTGTATAACTATTTTGTTATACAAGTGTACAATTGTAACAATGAATCGTCCAAAGCGAGTGAGAAAGCTAATAACCCTTGAAACTAAGAAAGTAATCATAAAAAAACGTGAGAATGGAACAAGCATTGCGAAACTTAGTGATGAATATGGGACGGCTAAATCGACTATATGTACGATTTTGAAGAATAAAGTGGAGTTAAAAACTGTGTAAGTGGCTAAGGGAATCTCTAGACTTAGCAATGCAAGGTGTAATGTGATTGAAGAGATGGAATATTTACTCTTAGTGGGGATAAAGGAGAAAGAAATGACAGGTGATAGCATTAGTGAAGCTATAATTTGTGAGAAGGCCAAACAATTGTTTGAGGACCTTAAAGCCAAGACTTCCAGTGGAAGTGATAGTGCTGTGCCAGTGTTTAGGGGTACCTGCATGCTGAACAACACTAAGGTAAGATAAAGTTCCGTATTTTTTACATTTTCCACAGAAAATTTTCAGTGCTAAGTGGTTTTATTTGGGGGCCTGGGACGGATTAATCCTATAACGAACGAATGCTATAACGAACGAGGTTCTAGAACCAATTAGATTCGTGATAGCATACCCCACTGTAGTAAAATAGTACTGACAGTGCACTACATATATAAAATAGGTTGCGGGGTTGTCCTGACTGTCATAACGCTAAAGTTTCAGGAATTATCCTTAAAAGGTTTATATTTATACCACATAGTCCAATTTTGTATTGTGTTTAACATTTATGATTCTTTCTTAGATGGTGATGTAGATGATCTGCCAGCCCCTCCATTGTTTCTTCCGGAGCCACATGATAATACCAGAGGGCCTGAATGTATCACCAAGAGATTAAGTGATAACACCTTTGATGAACCTGCCAGTGATTATGAGGCCTTGGTGCAGAAATGGGTTGCTGATTATATTACTAATGCTCAGGTGAGTATTATTTGGTGTGAGAAGAATCTTGGACATATTTTGGTACTTAATTGATTGTTCCTGACTACACACACACTTATAATAGAAAGATTTATGGCAGCATATAATAGTTGAAGGCACAAGAGTCAGAGGACGACTGAAAATAAGGTGGTCAGACAATGTAAATGAGGCAGTGAGATCTAGAGAGGTCTGGTTGGATAGTGGATGAAGAAATGATCTAGACTGGATGGTGGAGTCATTTGGAACATAGCAGTGGGAATATGACCCAACCTGGCAAATCTTTTTGTGTGCATAGGGATCTGCAATGAAGCATTTATCACTATTCTGTACTGTATTTTCTTAATGAGTATTTATTTTTCTGTGTTAATGAGCAGCTGTCTTGTATCTCGCCAACAAACACCCACTAGCTCGGTGATCGAGTGCCAATCAGGGTGTATTTAGTTATGATGGGATGTAGAGAAGCCACTTCTGAGCAAGTTCTGTTATACGTGTCTTGCTTGAACTCGTAGCTTCTTATGTTTTTGAGACCAGGTTTGCAGATTTGCACCAAAATTGGCTAGGTGTTGCCATGGTATCAGTTTTGCACAATTTAATGCAGCATTAAATCTATATTTATTCTACCACGGTAATAGTTTGTGGGAAGGTTTTGTATATGATTAGATAGTATATAATTTTTTTCATATACGTGAAGAATTCTTTTTAATACTTCCAAGTTGGATAATTAACTCTGCCTTTTTCTGTCTTCTAGGAGCATGTTACTTCCTCTGCCCTTGTAAAACATGTGAATAAGTGGAGGGAAGCCATATTGCCAAAGTTAGCAGAGGAGGAATGTCGAAAAGAGTTTGATATTCATAAATATGGTTCTCAGGTGAGTTATTACATTTTAAATCATTTTATGTGATAGATTGTATAAAGGAACTCTGTTTCATGATTTTGCATCACTACTGGTTGCACAGTGTCAGTTTCATAAGGAACACTGAATTTTTTTAATTCTGCCAAATCTGTTCTGCATGTTTAGCAATAGGTGGAGGACCAAGTCAGATCAAAAGTGCCAATCAACAGTTATGAGGCAATTGACCGATTGTAACAATGTGATCCTGTAATTGTTTACGAGAAATCATTATCACCTCCCCTCAATATGCAGATGCTTAGTCACTAGTGTTTTATTTGTGCCACTTTTGCCCTTTGTCTTGCTGGCTTTTGAAACAAGTGTCCTTGGACCATCAGCAGGATATACTGTGCAGTACAGTAATTCACTAATTGATTATAGAATTTCAATTCCTAGCCTAGTTAAGACAAGGGTAATCTGTCCACAAATAAATAGGAGTCAAATGCAGACTGTACACACCACAGATTGGTGTTACAGACCTTTGTTTCGTTTTTTTAATTATACGTATAAATTTTTTCCTTGAATTGCAGGTTTTAAGTCATTTTCCAGACAATGGACGAAAGCAGACTATATCTTTTAGTGAGGTGATAAAGGGTCAAGATGCACGAGAAGTGTCTCGACACTTCCTCTCATGCCTCATGCTGGTAAGTGTGGTGTGCTTTTTTTTTCTATTTTTTTTTTAATAGGTTCACACAGGTTGTCAAAGTATTAAAATTATAAGAAAGTGCCAGTATACAGGTAGTTCTGCTATAACGCGATAGTAGTGTTCTTGTAAAACATCGTGTTATAGAAATTCGTGTAATAGAAATAACAGGGCTTATGGAGAAAATAGGGTTAGGTTCAGATTACTCCAAATCAAAAAAAAATTTCGTAGTTAGCCTAACACAAAGGATAGCACAGTCTAAATAAATGTTACATTCATATCTAATAATGAAATCATACAGTAAATGTTACACTTTACCTTGAAAAGATATGAATATAACTTGATGGGGGAGAAGGGTGATGTTGAGGCTGAGGAGTCATGAAACATCAAGCTTTTCTTCAAGTGTTATAGCCTTTCTTTTACGATCACCACCGGAAATGCGATCACCAGAGTGCTTCCCAGAGATATTCTTCTTTTCCATAGTCACAAAATTGGAGAAACAGTAATCAGAATTCACTGAGGACACTTAAAAACTTCACGTGTTTCAAACAAAGTGTGGAGTAAACAGAGCGCGCGGGTCTAAAACGCTATGTATTTTGTTTTTCTCTTATTTAAAACTTTACATTTTACATATACTGTACAGGTATACTGTATACATAAATATTACATAAATTATTTCTGCAATTCTTCGCAAACAAAACACATAAATCAATTGAACATGTGATGTCGAACGTGAACTGTAAACACTGCATAACCCCGCGCCAAGCCACAATGTACAGTACACTTTAAGCGCTACTTATTTTGTTTTTCTCTCTTATTTAAAATTTTACAATTTACATATACTGTACAGGTATATCTTCACAAACAAAACACATAAATCAATTGAACAAGTGATGTCGAACGTGAACTGTAAACATTGAGCCAAGCCACAACACTGTACAGTACACTTTAACACTTTAAACGCTGCGTATTTAGTTTTTCTCTTTTATTTAAATTTTTACAATTTACATATATATATATATTTCATGTAAATCCACAATGAAAACGTGGATAAGATAAATCTTGATAAAATCACACGGGAAAATGGAAACAACGGAGTACTTTAGCTTTCGTCTTTATTCAAGACGAAAGACGAAAGCTAAGGTACTCCGTTGTTTCCATTTTCCCGTGTGATTTTATCAAGATATATATATATATATATATATATATATATATATATATATATATATATATATATATATATATATATATATATATATATATATATATATATATATATATATATATATACAGTATATGTAAATTGTAATTTACATATTATTCATATTATGCTAGAGCGCCCACAAAACATGAGAAACGTTTGAGTCCCCCAGTAGAGATGTCCGTTCTCTATCCACTCCAGGATGTCTTAGTCCTCCGTTTTCTTTTTGTGTACTCGCTCAGGGACTCAAGTATTTCTGTATATGACACAGGATGATAAGGGAATTTGAATTTATTTGTTTATTTATTTATATATAATATACTGTAATATATTAAACATACTGCAAGTATTTTCTTTAATTTATATACGTGTTTCGCGAAAAAGGGAGGCTACATTTATGGTGATCGTTAAGGACCAAACTCCGAATCCATGACGTGACTTCTGTTCATTATTTATATCCTAAATTTACCACTGTAGGTAGTTTCAAGAATTAATGCAGTCATTTCCTGAATATTCTTTGCAAAAAAATAAATTTTAAATGAATTATTTATAAGAGATAAGTATTATGATCAGTAAATATACAGATATGCATTACTGACCACCTCCGAACACAAGGACGGCTAAAAATAGCCACAGGCGGTCACAGTCAAGGTCACTTTCCCTTTCTTGTCACTGGCAAATGGGGGTGGGGGGGATGATAATAGCAGCTGTGTTTATTACGGTATGTTAGACTGGTTTATAATACATTTTTATTATTTTAATATACCGGTAATCTTCATTTTAATCCAGCTTACCAAACGTAAGTTTCAGTATAAAATAATTAGTGGTACTGTAGGACCTTGTGAGTGGTTTACTGTATACATAAATATTACATAAATTATTTCTGCAATTCTTCACAAACAAAACACATAAATCAATTGAATATGTGATGTCAAACGTGAACTGTAAACACTGTGTGTGATGTAAAGAGAGCGCGGGTGTAAAACGCTATGTAATTTGATTTTCTCTTTTATGTAAAGTTTTACAATTTACTTATAATATATAGGTATACTGTATACATAAATATTACATACATTATTTCTGCAATTGTTCACAAACAAAACACATAACTCAATTGAACATGTGATGTCGAACGTGAACTGAAGCCACAACAACCGTTCGAGTGGAATCGCGTTAGAGCAAACGAGTTCGCGTTTTACAAATATCGTTCCTCAATTCATAAATCGCGTTCGAGCAAATTCGCGTTGTCAAAACACGCGTTATAGCAGAACTCACTGTACTTGTAAAACTTGACATTTCCTCTTTTACGAGTGACTTTGTTTTTCAGTTACAGAGTGGTAAAATGTACTGTATACAGTAGAAAGGAAAAGATGAAAACTATTAAACTAAAAGCCACATTAGAGTCAATACAGCTCAGTTCACCTGGGATGGGGGAAGGGAATTACCAGGATGAGTCAAACTAGGTTGAAGGGATGTTATTGGATTACACAATGGGTATTCCTTATATTCTTTAATTAATGACTCATATTTCCTTCACTTAAATCACAGTAATTGTCTGCTTTTTCACTCTCTGGTAAGGATTTGCTCAACATCTCTGGTGAGTGAGGAAGCGCATGGCTTTGAGCCTTATGTTCTTGTGGGGCTGAGCTGTTGTTGGCTGGAGAATTTTTGCACGAATGAGGTTATGTTTCTGAGGACTTAGCACACGTTGCTGTGAAATCAATCTACAATATAAGTTTTAGCATTAAAAGGTAATCATAAAATATGCACCTAGTTTAATGCTATGACATGTACTGTATACAAATTTATGTTTGCTAGTCAAAGGATTTGCATGACTTTTGAAAAAGTGAATATGAGGTATGAGTTTGTCTTTCGGTATGTTGGGAAAATTTTCCTTGTTCAGAAGATAACTCTTGTATTTACACATAAGGTATGTTTTATTAATCTTTGCATGGGTATGTATCATAACTAGACAGTTTTATGAAGAGTTACAATTCTGTATCTAAAATTAGTTCACAACTGAATGTTACAAATACATTCATGTAATGGTCCCATCCATGGTATATATACCATGCACCAGTAGTTTTTTATTTTCTTGGTTAATTTATATGAACATTATCATAATTTTTAGATCATAATCACACACTTGTTTTGAAAGGATGTAATGTATTAGGTAGAGGCATTTCACATCTTATAATGACTTAGGATGACCAATTATACCTTTTAAACTGATGAAGATAACATAACAAAACTTAGACATACATAATGATTTACACCGAACAACCAGGTCCCTGAATCAAAAGTTGAGAATCACAAAGTATATTTATATATAATCGCATATTGTCCTTCAATATGTGTTTCTAATCAACGCCTTCACCCACTGCTGTATTGCCTTGTGATGGGTATTTTATGTGCCCCTCTTACTGTGCTCTTGTTAACTGTCCATTTTTATGTATTATTTACAATTGTGAAAATTCTTAAGGATGATCCTCCACCTCCTCCTCCTCCTCTTCCTCTGTTTCCTAAAAGTAAGTTATTAGTCTATGATTTATTATACTGTATTGAAAAAAAAAATTATCTCTCCCGCACTCTTAGGCAAATACGTATAATATAGAGTTGAGTGAAACAGAACCAGGGGACTTGGCTATGGACTGTCTGGAATTAACTCTTCTTTCCCGAGTCCGTCACCATGAAGAACTGGAGGAGTATGCTGCACCCTCACAAGCTTCTCCGCTCCCGTGAGTTTTATGGCCCACCTTGTTTTCTTTTCTTTCTTTCTTTCTTTCTTTCTTTCTTTCTTTCTTTCCTTAGATAACTTGAATTTTAAATTATTGGGAAGGTCTCATTTATAGTAAGAGTTTCATAATTTAGTCAAATATTTGATATCCCATTTGTTTTAGAAATTCTACTTGAAACACAAATGTCTTTGTGTTCAGTTTCATTACATTACTTTTTCATTATTTCCACATCATCTTCTTGTTGAATGTTGTTTAAAAAAATAATAATTGTGAGTGATAATTTATAAAGTTTATGTATGAATTGGGTAAGTATAGAGCAACATGAACTAACTAAATATAATCTATTGCATGACGCTTTTGACTTGTTGCAACTCTCTTAACTTCTTCAGTTTTCCTGCCATTATATTTGTGTGTGGAAGTCCAAGGGAATTTATAACTAATGTCTACTCATAGAGAGGAACAAAGGCAACCACCCAAGTTTAGAATTAAAAATCTAAGAGCGATGGTATTTAATAACTCGGCTAACAAGATCAGTTTAGAGGAATCTACAGTGCTCCAGTGAGTACTCATTTATTTATTTTTTCCATGTACGTATGTTTGTTTTGTGTACTCTTTTTCATCTACTCTTTTTAGCATTTTTTATGAGGTTTCTATTGTAAAGCCTTTCACGATTTGTACCTTTTTTTTGTGTGTGTGTGCGTGCGTGCGTGAGTGACTGTAAATGGTACAAATGTTAATCCAATTAGACAGGGTATTGTTCAGCTTTGGTCATGGAGCTTCCTTGACCTCATGATGAACTTAAGGTTGGAGATAAATTTTACTGTATTCTTAATTTGAGAGGCTTATTACCCGAGTCATCAACTAGACAGTAATTCTTCCAGTGTCCAGTATAACATTACGGTCTGCATAAAGGAAAAGGATTTGAAGGTTAGCTCCAGCCACTTTATAACTCTACAGTCATGGATTAGATGCCCTGTTGGGGGTGTGTCACATTGCACTTGGAGCTAATCCAAAGCCCCCCCCCCCCCCTCCTTTAAAGTTTTGGGTGGTGAGCATCATGGGGGGAGATGGCTATCATCTTATTAGGCTCCAGCCACCCTAGTTTAGGATTTCTAGGTGCAGAATTATAGGCTTTGATGGATATTGTATTA